CTTTACCTCGAAATTCTGGACTACCTTGCTAGCACTTATGGGTATCAAGAGAAAGCTATCGACATCTTTCCACCCACAAACAGATGGTCAAACAGAGAGGACCAACCAGACAATGGAAGCATATCTTAGATGCTATGTAAATTATCGACAAGACAATTGGGTAGAACTATTACCTATGGCACAATTCGCATATAACACATCGGAAACGGAAACCACGAAAATCACCCCAGCACGAGCTAATTTTGGGTTTAATCCACAAGCGTATAAAATTCCGATACCACAAGAAGTTAATGCCGAATCAGCGATAGTACAAGTCGAACAGCTGAAAGATCTCCAAGAGCAACTGGCTCTTGATCTAAGATTCATATCTTCCAGAACAGCAGCGTACTACAATACGAAACGTAGTATGGAACCTACGCTTAAAGAGGGGGATAAAGTTTATCTGCTACGACGAAACATCGAAACCAAGAGACCAAGCAATAAACTCGACCACAGGAAACTGGGACCATTCAAGATTGATAAGGTAATAGGAACGGTCAATTATCGGTTAAAACTACCAGACACGATGAATATCCACCCAGTATTCCACATATCCTTACTCGAACCAGCACCACCAGGAGCGCCGAAAGCGCCATTTACAGAAATCGAACCAGTCAACCCGAACGCCATATATGATGTCGAAACAATACTAGATTGTAAATACGTCAGAGGCACAATCAAATATTTGATCAAATGGTTAGATTACCCACACACCGAAAATTCATGGGAACCAAGAACAAACCTCAACTGCCCTGAGAAGTTGGAGGCGTTCCACCAGCAATATCCGGATTTGCCCAGAAAGAAGGAGAATCCATTGAAGCAAGGATCGAAGGATCCAAGGAAGAAGAATCGAAAACAAAGGAACCGTCGATAGGGCCAGCAACAGAGACAGACGCCAATTCCTTTTCTTTTTCAACACGCTCATTTTCTAACCTTTCCTTCTCTTCTAGAGCATCGAGCTCATCTAAAGTACGCAGACCACGGCGCAGCATATCGGATTCACGCTTCAACAAAGCACGCTTTTGTTTCCGCAGACGAAGAACTTTAGCCATCGCTTCCTGAGAAACACTTATAGCGCGTTCTTCTTCCTCCTCAAGTCTGGCCTTTTGGCGGTCCAGACTATCCCAATCACTATCAGAAGGGCCACGAACGTCACATCTACGCCCTTGGCGGATACATTCAGCACACCGGGAAGAGTCCGGAGAAGATACAACACATTTGCGCTCTTGGCGTTCACACAAAGAACAAGACGACATTTCGAGACCGCGAGATTCAACAAGACGAGCTAAGCGCAATCTTTCCTTTCGTTTGTGAAAATTATCAGTCATATTGAGAGAAACAAACCATAGTACGACTATATTCCGAAGTGGGGTAAGCCGTTACTATATAACGCTTGGGACAAGCGCTAGGATAAGAAGGGGATAGTGTTACGACGGCATCCAACATACCGCGTCACATGACATAAATTACACGTGATGGAGCGTCAAGGAGCTTCAGCGCTCCTGGAGCGCGTTGCGATCCTTAACGATCCAACATATAGGAGAGGTCCTAGGGACCAGGAGAGAGAACGAAGGTCTATATAAGGGAATGGGTTTCATTACAATGTAGAGCTTCGTGCTCAAGAACAATCATTAGTTTCATTACTATAGTTACGAGAATTGCAACCAGTTACCAACCTTATTGAATTCCTACTTGAAGTCTAGTCTAAACCACCTCGAGAGAACTCTAGACACTTCCACGTGACCCTAGAGGCAGCTCCCGTAACAATTAGGTTATTTAAGATTTTAATAATGTTGATTAAGAAAAAGTTTTAATTAGATTATAAAGGGTTTGAGAAATTTATTAATCTAAATTAAAAGAGAAAGGGGTAGATATATAAATTTGATTATTCAATTTTGAAAGTATAGTTTCAAGATTAAATGATATTAAATCTGTTTTTTAAAATTCTAATTTTATATTTTAAAAAGTAATTGATTCTTTATATATAGTTTTCAAAACTATAAAGAATTTAACCTTTTAAAATATAGTTAATATATATCTTAATAAATCTATCAATTTGATTATTATATTAATATTTTAAATTTTAAAAACAATTCATATTAAATGATTAAATTAAATAACTTAAATATAATAATAAATATAAATAACGTAACGTATGGGGAACTCGGACATATGGGGAACTCGGACACTTTTAGCCCATCACCAACTTGAAACCGCAATAACTTTTATTATGCATACCCAATCACCTTCTACATCTGCTCAAATTGAAGAGAAGCTTCAAAAGGCTATAATTTCACTTCAACTGAAAGAATTTAAATCAATTAGAAAGGCTGCAGAGCATTTTGAAGTCCCTAAGTCTACCCTAGCTGATAGGCTGGCTGGGAAGAAAACACGTTCCCAAACCCACGAAATGGCTCAAATTCTTTCAAACGCAGAAGAAAATACTCTTGTACGATGGATTTCACGACTTACCATCACTGGATTCCCTGCTACACCTATGTTGGTGAAGGAAATGGCCGACGAAATTCGTCTTCGACGCGTTCGGGTCGCGTCATCTCGAAATCCTACCTCGACAGAAATTCCACCTATAGGCCACGAATGGATCTATAGATTCCAAAAACGACATCCAGAACTTAAAACATGCTATTCACGTCAATTAGAGTCTAATCGGGCTAAAGAAGCAACTCCGGAGAATATTCAGGCTTGGTTTGACGCGTTTCGCACGCGTCTCATTGAGCGAAAGTATGAATTAATTAGATGATATGTATAATATGGATGAAACCGGATTTGGAGTTGGAAGTACTCAAAGTACGCGCATTATAGTCGATTCTACTCAGAAATCGAATTGGAAAGTTACAGCTGGCAAGCAAGAATGGATAACTGCATTTGAATGTGTCAATGCAGCTGGAAATGCTCTATCACCTATGGTCATTTTCAAGGCTCAGAATACGAATTCTGCATGGATTCCAAAGGACACACCTCAAAGCTGGCAGTTCTCTACTAGTACAAATGGATGGACCTCAAATAGCCATGGATTAGAATGGTTAAAAAGGGTTTTCGAACCAGAATCCAAGAAAGTGTCAGGTGACCGACCTCGACTTTTGATCATGGATGGCCATTCAAGCCATATTACAGGTAGCTTTATTGCTTTCTGTATAGATAATGATATTGATTTACTTATATTACCTCCTCATTGCTCTCACTTGCTTCAGCCACTTGATATTGCGGTGTATGGGCCAATGAAACGATATCATGCTTTAGAGGTCGATCGATATTCTCGAGCTGGTGTAAAGCGAATCCAAAGAGCTGAATGGGTAGAACTCTTTCAAAATATTAGAAAAAAAGCATTGAATTCTTCTAATATTAAAGCTGGCTGGAGAGGAGCTGGTCTAGTACCTTTTGCCCCACGAAAAGTACTCGATTCATTACCATTTAACTCCTCCCAGCAACCTTCTACTCCACAAATGAGAACCCCCAATCAAGACCTAGACTTGTCTATACTCAGGAGTTCTCCTCCAGATGGAACAGAACTAAGGCAAGCAAATCAGATCTTTAATACAGCTCTAGCAAGCAGTGGTTCTCCTGCATCGCCAACTCGTCGATATGCCAAGAGAATGACTAGGCTTGTAGAATCTCAAAATGCTGAGATAGCCCTACTTCGGAAACAGCTCTCTGATGCTCAGGAGGTAATTGAGACTCGAAAGAAAAGAACTAAAGGCAAAAGAGTCAAATTACAAGGTCAATTTGTCTTTAGTACTAAGGAAGTATTGAAAATGGTACGTGAGGCGGAGGAAAAACCGAAGGAGAAAAAGCCACGAGGACGGCCACGCAAACGCCCAATTGAAGAATCAGAAGAAGAGATTGAAGAAGAAGAGCTAGAGAATAGTTCAAGTGATTCGGAATTGGAATTGGAGGATTGTGTGGCTCGTAGAACAAGATCGCGTGTAGAATAATTGAAAAAGTGTCCGAGTTCCCCATATGTCCGAGTTCCCCATACGTTACGTTATAAAATTATATTATTATATTATAATATAGTTATATCTATTATCAAATTGATTTATAATAAAATAGAATAAGATGAAATCATATGAAAGATTGTTAATAAATTAACTAAATTGATTGATTGTATTTCTCTTTTATGATATAAAATGATTCTGTAAGATTCGATTTAAATCGATCTTATTTATAAGAATAGAAACTACTAGAATTTCATTATAAATTATATAAACCTAGGATATTCTTTAAAGAAAACCTAGGAAAAAGCAAGCAAATTCAGCTCAATTAAGCTCTCACTTATAATTTGTCTTCAATTCAACTCTTATATTATATTCGATTTGTCCTTTAAGCTAGAGTGACTAAGTCTTCCACTATTACTAGAATATTATTATTATTATTATATTCTGGAAAATTACCTCCAACAAAAATAAATCAAAAGTAAAATAATATAATTAATAAACAAACTCCCCTTTAAACTTTCAACTAATACCTTTCATTCATTCTAGCCCCTATACTTACTCCCCTCCTTCTCTTCCTTAACTCTTATTCATCTCTATAACCTTCTTCTAACCTTTACATATATACTCTTTTATTTACCTTTCCTACAACTCTAATATTCGAAGGCCTTTGAAAGTCCTTATTTTTTTTAAAAAATTCAATAATAAACGAGTTGTATTTTATACTCATAATATTCATTATTAACAAATCAAAATTTTATTGATAACGAAAAAGAGATTAATATTATTATATATATTATAGAAATTTGGATGAGGATTTATACTGAATTTCTCTTTGTTTGTAATATTAACTTTGCCACCATAGGGAAGGAATTACATGGCGAGTAACCATATTGCAAATGGGTAGACGGCATAGAATTGTATTACAAGGGAGGCTATATCGAACCAGGAGATGAAAATGAAAAGAAAATATCGTTCCTGTCATCCGCGATGACCTTGCTGTTTCTTTCATCTCGGTGCCGAAACCTGTGGTAAAGGAACCATTGTGCAATCCAGTTGGGGACAGTCGAGAGTTGGACGAGCAAGGCTCCAGTAATAAGCCGTTTGATCGGTGGCGTTCTGAGCAATCAATTCTATGGCATGGTCCTTTGACTGTTCTAAGATATCACACCAATCATAGGGCGGTTTCCCTTTGCAATTCTTTTTCAAGTGTTGTTTTTCAGCAACAAGCCATTGGTAAACGATATCCGTTTCTTTCAATAGTCTAGTGAGCATCAAACGTTGTAATTAAGTCATAAAGGAAAAAAATGAATCTTACTGCCATGAGCGCGTATGTTTCAAAATCAAGGTTGAGATGTTTCAAAAGGTCATCTTTAGTCTTGCTCATCGCTAGTGGTCTTAAATCAGGTCCGTAAGGATGACTACCCATTTTCTTGGTCTTATCACCTCCATTTGAATCCTCCATCAGTCTTGAAACAAGATCTTGCTCTGAGCTCAGTTTATATTTCTCTCCCCTCCGATCCATTATTGTCCTTGGACTAGTTATTTGTTTTGAGTCCATTAATCCAAGATTTCTTGGTTCTTGTTCATTTGTGAGAAGAAGATTCCTATTTCTTGAAGCTTCTGTTTCGATGTTTTGTGCCATTTTCTATTTCTGCTCTAAACCATGTTTGTCACCGAGATTTACCAGTGATTGGTTTGGAAGGATTTGATTCTCTGGCTCGACTAGGCTTTCATCTTGATCCTTGACTATATCAATTGTGTCTGCTGAAGAATGATCAGAGATGCAAGGTTCTTTGCGTTCTTCTTCGTGAGATGACCTAGGTGGTGCGTCATTTCCTTCTAGACTCACTGGAATCACTACCCTTTGCTCAGATCTGATTTCAATATCAAATCTACTCAATCGTAACCCTTTATCATCCATCCCTCCTTCTTTAGTTTTGAACTTTCCCTTTAAACTCATTCTTCCATAAGCCTCAATAATTCGTAGAGAGTCATCGCGTTCTCGGCGCAGTTTACGCTTCTCGCGATTACTTTCCGAAGTGTCGTTCCGGAGGCCTCGGATTTGTAGCTCCATAGATTGCATACGATTATTACATACATTAATTGCTTCACTAAGTCTACGGTTAGTATATTAACCGGCTCATTGAGCTCGTTATCACTATAAGAGGGGTCCTTTATATTCAACATTCGCTTCTTAATATCGACAAGACTGATAGCGGCATCTCTACCTAAGTATACCCAAATTGGCACTGGCATTGAAACAAACATTAAAATCAAGAAGCTACCGAATCCAGCTTCGATGGTGACAGATTCAGCAATAATAAGCATTATGTAAAACCAGTCGACAAACAAATTGGCAGACAAGTCTGGGGTCAAATGCTCTTTCAACCTTACACTCAATATAATCATGGGAAGTTGTTGCTTAATAGACAGGGGGATAGACTTAGACGACGGACCAGATTCTTTGCCGGAATCAGTCCTTTGCTTTTTTAAAGGCGAAATTGGACCCGCTGAGCCCAGTGATTGCGAAGGATTGAGTGATGATAAAATTGCAGGCCCCCCTTAGTCTCATTGAAGGCTGTATGCTGCATGGTAACCTTAAGTTTTGAATAAGAATAATGTATAACGAAGCTTTCTATAATTCTTTTTTCTCGGACATTTAGTTCTGAATTCAACAAAGTATTTTATTATATAGTATAACAACAATGAATTTCGAATATATACTTAACAAATATAATTCTATTATTAAAGCATAAGTATACAAATAAATCCCAATATTATTTGTAAAACTGTTGAAGTTGTAAGTGACAATAAACTTTATAATTTCGTATTCGATGTTTATGTTTGTATTTCTTGAGGAATAACAATTGAATAAAAGTAGGACATCAAATTGTGCTTCTTTTAGTAAATTTTGAATACCGTCTTATTTCACTATGTTATAATTAGGATCTCAAGAATTTAAACAATTACATATACGGTTGTTAGCTTTATATGGAGGTAGTAGGGTATCCTGCCAAGTATGGATCATAGTAGGAACTCAAAACATTTCATTGATTGAAAACCTCGAAACTCTAACACAATACTAATGTGTTTACTAGTCCGAACTGGCAGTCTAGATCTGGAAGCTTTCAATATTTGGAGACGCTTCATTCAGTTGGATGTTTCAAATTGTTTGGTTGTCCCAGATGATTTGAGTATATATGTGTGAACGCAGTGAATGACTTCAATTCAATGGCTACTGTAGTTAAGCCCTACGCGAATGTCAAAGAGACTAGCTCTTTCTAGTAGGCCTTATATGAGGTCTACTATCCCCTGCAACTAGCTAGTTCTTTAGATAGAATACAATTAGACGATTAGGACCTACGCAAATCGTGGGTACTACGTCTTCCGTATCCTTCTCATACAAACAATATAAAATAAAATGAAACAATCAAAAGTTTTTTGTTGCCGGATTACAGTCCAGACTACTGAGTACACTGTGCACTGTGCCCGATGGGAATTTGATATTGAAACTGGTCTGTAAAAACATTCCTGTTCACATACCTAATCCAACATGGCTATCAATTTTGAGCCAGCATGCAGTGCCCACCATGATAAAAATTTCAGACCCTCCTTATTGTCGTCGCCTAGTTCAATAAAGTCCAAAATCTTCCGATTCAGCTTCTTGTGACTTCCGTTGTTAGGTATCCGGTAGATCTCAACTTCGAAGTTGTAAATCGAAGCGAGAACTATGCCTAGTTCGTGGACTTCAATTAAAACACGCAAAGCTGGGTCTTCGCCATCCCATAATAGAAGGACACAAACTCGAGTATATATGGCTACAATATTTGGGGGTCAGCGAAACATTCACTTAAAGTTGGACATCAAGGGGCTAGCATAGTATCCACACAAGCCAGCGAAATGTTCACATAAAGTTAGATAATGAGAAGTCATGAAACATTCAGATATATTCGGACTTTGAGAAGTACGATATGAGAGAACAGCGCGCTCACTTTGTTGATCGTTCGGGTAGGCTGTATCGGCAGCTTTCTGTAGCTTTTCGCCAAAATCGCGTATCGTGATATGGTGATGTAATTGGCTCAGATCACGAGGTTCAAATGGAGTGGCAAATAACGCGTCGTTCATATTAGCGTCAGTCGTTGTCGCTAGCTGTGCTAAACATTGAAAAGCCGATTCTCAAACCTTTTCTCTTCTTATGTTGAAGCCGAGAACAAGAGGGGTCCGTATTGAGCCTTATCTTATTAACTAAATAGAATTGATAGATAGTATTAAAATGTATATAGTCCAATTGTATAACCTATTTACATCATCCAGCCAAAAACCGAAGAATCAAGACAGACTAAAAGATAGACTTCTTAATAACGAATATAATAAAACTCAATATTCAAGCTAATTTATATCCTAATAAAACTATTCGAAGGATTATTAAAAGATAAAAACATTTAAGAATAAAAATATTAAGAAGATTCTTAAAAAGAATAAATATTTAAAAAGCTTGAAGGTTAATTATTGAATGAATTAGGAAAGATTGGGTTTAATAATTGATACTTATTCAGGCTTTTATAAGAGGGATGCTCAAATATCCATATGTTATGCATGAACACATATGGACATTCGGGAGTGAAAGAGCTCTGTATCTGGCTTGTGTAACCGCCCCCAAATTCATGGGAATTCGAAGCATCGTCAAATGGCAGGGCTGAGGGTCTGATGTTTCGTCGATTTCCCCTAATTTTATTATTCCCAAAAATGCTTTCTTTTTCTCTTTTTATAAATGACAGATCCTGTATATTGTGTATTGTTTTAATGTTGATAAGGCAGCAAGAGGCTGGACTTGTTAAACTTCTACCAATCTAGGGATAAGTGGTCAAGTGTATGAAATCGCCGTATAGAACCGCGGGAGGGAAACGTGTACACCCAGTACAAACGAGGCTTCTCTTCTCACATACAAACCTGATTCATGGTATACATGACATTATAGTATATAACTGAAAACCACTTTATTATATAAATTAATTCTAATAACATGGTTTATCAGTACGTGTACTATATTAATATGTACATTATTATTTTTACATACAAAAAACGGCCGTATGTAATCGTACACTTTCTTTATTTATTGATATAATTTAATTTTTCCTTATATATATTATATTTATTTATATAAATAATATAAAAATGAATTAAAATACTAAAATCTTATAATAATAAAAAAGTTATTTAAAGAAATAGATTTTTGTAATGCAAAGTATAATATTCTTGGGCTACAATTGAGATATTTATAAAAAGATCAAATTTTATAAATATTTCATTTTTATTATTTATAAGGAAACTTTTTCAGAGAAAAAATAATGATTAATGATTTAAATAAAAATATTAATAAAAAACTAATTTTAATGTATTTTGAAATGATACACATACTGATATAGTATATGTACTAATAAACTACGTTATTTACAATCTATTTAAAAAATGTAGTATAACAAGCTCTCAATAATTAAATATCTTAAGTAAAATCATTAAGATTAATTATTCCGAACCTTATAAATTGAATATTCATTTAAATATATATATACCTAGTTTTCTTTATATGGTATACAAATTAACATTTTTAAAACTATAGAAAATCGAATTTATCCGAACATTCGAAATGTGTATCCTACTTTTGCTGAGAGATAAGCTGATTACACTCAAATTTACCCCACAGCAACTGTTAGCACAGCCAGCATTGTACACAATGTACTAACCAATTCGCATAATTAGAGCCCTTCAAATATATAATGCTGTATACACACAAGCTCAGCCAAATCGAAATTCTATTCTTTATATTAACAAATAATAATTCATATTAGATTATTATAATACTTTCCAATTAATATTTTTAATTATATTAAAAAATCTAATTTTATTTATTCAAAATTCTATTATAATTATCAAAGTTGAGTTTATATAAGTTTAATATATAAATAAATTATTAATTTAAAATTAAGAAATTCTTATTAAAGATTTTTATAAAAAGTGTTATTATTATAATTTAAGATCTTTTCTGGATTATTATTATATTGAAGAATATTTCAATAATAATTATAAAAATTATAAATAATAAGACCATAGTATTCAATATATACTATTTAATTATTTATATTCTAACCCTACAAATAAACAACACAATCTTTTTCCTCTCTCTTTTCACACATTTCCTAATCGAAGTCTTACTCCCCCTCCTCCTTACATATCTCCTGATCAAAGTCCTACTCCTCCCCCTTCGATTAATCACAAACCTTTAGAATGAAAAGAAACTCTTCTATTTTATAATATCTTTAAGGATAAACCTTTTATTATGAATTAGTTTTGTACAACTTTAATTTTAATATTTTTAGATTTTGAATTTGTTGGGCAGACTTGGTAAGGGGTGTATACATAATATGTATAAATAAAAGGATTGTTTATTTCTATCTGCCCTCTTCATATGAAAAGGGAATTACTATATCTATATACATATACTACCCCTACTTATATACTTTATACATATATGAGGTAAAGTGTAATATGTAATGTTACGTTGTTGGTCACGTGTTCCGACAGAATTTGAAATATGAATTATTTATTAAAAGTAAATCTTTTTAAATAAATAAAAAATATAAAAAGATATCATTAATTATATATGTTCTTAGTTTATTAGTATAAAGATCTAGCTGATCTTTATACCTATACTTTCATTCATTCACCCTTCAGCTCGTATAATTAGAGTATTAGTAGGAATGAGCGGATTATATAATCTAAGGAATGAATATATATTTCTATATTATCACGCTTTTTGACTATGATTAAATATTATATCAAGATTATTCATATGTTTTTCAGCCTAATTAAATCAATAGAATAAGTAAAAGTGAATTTACTTATTAAGTTTTTTCAAATAAATAATAAAACAGTTTAACATAAAGAATTCATTCTAGAATTTTAGATTATTAATAAAATGATATTTGTATATATGAATTCATAAGTATTATAAATTATAAGAGGAGAGAATAATTTCTTTTTATTTATTTATAAAGAATTAAAAAACATTTAGCTATTAATTTAAAAAACAATATTATATTTAATACTAATTTAAAACTTGAAATTAATAATACTATTGAAACTTTTGAAAATATAAATCTTTTCAAAAATGATTTTTAAATAGAATTAATGAATCTTTAAAATTTCATTTTAAAGCTTTTCTTTTAAAATATTTTCAATCTTATATAATCCAATCAAATTTAAAAATTCCTTTCAAAATCTCTTTTAAAAATCTCTTTAATCTCTATTTTCTATACTAAAAAGAATGGATTTTAATTAATATTATGTATTATATTTCAATAACGAATATACAAGATTATATATTATGAAAATGTTCAACCCTAGGTATTAGTATTAACGAACTCTCTCAACGCTTTATTAGTATCTGTCTATTTCATAATATCTATTATATTATAAAGATTATTAATTCATCTTACTCCTATTAATTCTCTTTTTTATAAGAGTTAAGGCCTCAACTTATTATATATTATCCTTTTTCATAACAAAATCCCCGCAAAAATACTATTTTCTCGTATATATTAATTATTTTTATAAGTCTTAAATTATATAAAGAATTAATTTGAAAATTATATATATAAAAAACAATTATAAAAAGCATCTTTAATTTGAATAATATCTTGAAATTATTAAAATTGATAAAGTTATAGATTTTTAAAATTGAAATTTTTCAACATTTATAATCTATAATGCTTTTCTTATATAAAAAAATCACTTTTTTAAGTTTTTTTAATAATTTCAATTTTCAGAATCTATAACTTTTTAAAAAAAAAATATTAAAAATATTTCATTCATTTTTTTTAAATTATCTTGATAATTTTCGACTTTGTTTATTGTTTTTATAAATTTATTTTGAAAATTGATTGAATTCATATATAATTCAAAAGTTAAATAAATAAGAGTTTTTGATGTGTTTTTGTTTAGTATGTAATAAGCCGAGGTTTAAACTCTTACGATTGTTGTAGAGTCATAACATCAATCATGCGCCTCTTTTCTTTCACTGTACTCAGTTTGACGAGACGTTCGTACAGTAAATATGAATTTGTTCTGCCTACAATCTTCATATCAAAATTTGTGAAAATTAAAATACAGACATGTATAGTTTTATGAAAAGTATGAATGTTTGATTAAAGATAAGATAATAGTGCGATGTTACAATAGAGGTAAATATTTGGTGGGATTTATCATTATGCTTTTGCGACTGAGGAGAAACACGTGCAGTCAGGCTGTAATGGCGTGAACTCTCTGAAGATTCTTTTACAGCCTGTAGACAGAAAACAATCAGGGCCTGAAAAGCCTACATTTATCCTGCAAATGCCATATCAGCAACCACTTTTGTCAAGCTACATAAAAAATACAGCATCGAAACGCTGCGACTGATAAATATGCTTATTGATTTGAGCTCTGTTATCCTGAAAGGTTCTCTGTTTACTCGGCAGAATAATTAAAGATGTATAGTAAGAGTTATCGAACTTACTTACTACATCCTGTAAATTTTGTAATAAAATCCCTATATAATGTTTTTCTATACAAATTAAAGAAGTTAATAACTTTTTCAATTCAAGGAATTTTATTTTCAAAACTTCAAAATAAATAATTAATACTATTCTTTATCGAAAAAAATATATATTGTATTTTTAATTATTTTTATTCATGAATTATATAAACTTGAAATTGAAAAGTTAATTTTTTTTAACTTGTAATGCTTTTCCCATACAGAATAAGCGATTTTTTTAGAAAATTTATAATTCTTATCTTTAATAGGTTATAACTTTATAAATAAAATATTTAAAAATAAACTAGCTTTTTTCTATATAATTAAATTAATTTTAGATCGACTTTGAATTCCTTTAATCATTTTATATGATGTTTTAATAAATAAACAGGGGTCTTAAAAGCTGAAAAATCAATGGTTTTAGCGGGGAAATCGAAATCTTTACGTTAAAGAGGTTCCAGAACTCTTATAAACTAAAATTGAATATAACTTCTACAAATTTCATTTTAATTCAAAAAAAATTATATAATAATTTATATATATTTTTCTATATAGATATAAGGTTTTACAGAATTGAAATAAAAAATGAAAGAGAAGTAGTATATTAAAGTTAATAAGTTGATAATAATAAGTATAATTTCATAATATATCTTAGATTCTATTTATCTCTATTAATTCTGGATTTTATATTTTTATTCTTTGAATTCTAATTAGAAATTGAGTAGTATCTTATTAAGAAAAGAGTTTTCTTTGTAATTCCTTAAAATAGAAAAGTTATTAAAGATTAAAGTTAAATAAGTAAATTAAATTTTCTAATTTTTATACTTAATATTCTTAATATTCTTGGAAATAAGCGAATTTACCTTTTCAAAAATAATCCTTTTTTATTTCAAATATGAATAACTTTTCTAATTATAAATAAATCTTTATAAAAACTTATATATTGAAAAGTAAAATTTTTATTTAACAATATATTTAAGTCTTCATATTATAAGTATTAAATAAATTGAATTGTTAAAGATCGAAAAAGTATTCAAAAACAAGTACTTTTTAAATTAGTTTAATAAATTTATTGCTTTTATTTCAATCATTTTAATTCCGATTTCTTAGAAACTTTTATATAATATGACTATTATATTAATTGATTATATATATCATTTATAGCTTATTCAATTAAAAGAATATTAAAATTATAAATATTTTTAGTTTATACTATAGGTCGAGTACTCTACTTTCTGATTACTCCTCTTTTGAGTCATTCATTTATACTAAAAATTACCTTTTTTAGCTTATTATTAACTCTTTTATTTATAAATAGAATTTACTAAAAATTTATATATATATAATCCAAATCATTTTAAACTTATTCTGAAAATTTCAGATTTTTGAGATTTTTTGAGTAGAGATCTAACGCTTTAAAATATTGATTTTTTAATTTATATGAAAATTATATATAAATTTGAAATCAATTTTAAATCTTTAATAACTATTTAATTATAATTAATAAAAAGAAACTAATTACTTTTCTAAACGTTTCAAGCTTAAACCTATATAAAAGATTAAAAAATTAAAAAAAAATTAATAGTTATAAAGATATAACTTGAGTGGGAAAAAATAATCCCTATAATTTCTAAAGTATCCCTATAAATACTTATTAATAATTTTTATATTAAAGATAATTAAATAAAACTTTATTTCCTTTAATTCAATCAAATTCAAGATTTCCATTCAAGATTTCTTTAAAAATTCTTCAAAATCCCAACTTTATTTTAGGGGATATAATTGACTTGGTTATTATTATACTCTATATGAAATAATCATTATTATAATTTATATAATTATAAATTGCCCAGCCCTATATATAATACAAGAACTCAAGCGGCTTTAGCTCACTTGGGAGAGCGCCAGACTGAAGCTCACTTCAGCCCATTAATCTGGAGGCACTGTGTTCGATCCACAGAAGCCGCATTCTGCGAGTTGAGGCCAACCCCAACCAATATCCATTTTGCAATTTTAGAAGTTGCTCCATTACACTAATTAGAAGTCCCTCTGAACTCATTCCCCCACTATCAAGATCAATAATTTCGAACCCCTGCAATAGTGCCCCCACTCGGTCAAAATTTTCTTTTCTGTTTTTCTCTTCACATATTTAATATGTCTCGATATAAAGATATATTTCCTTTTTCTTGTATAAATTCAAGGCCGGATGGTGTAGTTGGTTATCACGTGTCCTTAACAATGAACAATTGTCAAAATGCGGACAAGGTCCTGGGATCGTGCCCCAGTCTGGTCAATACATGTTTGATCATCTTGTCTCTTGAGGGATCAATTTTTATACTCTTTTTGATCACTAGCTTTCGTTTTGTGTCCTTGTGGTATATATTCTTTGGAGTTTTGGAGCGCGATGTGGAGAGGAAACTTATGTGGAAAAGGGGCCGAGGGTCTGGAGATGAAAAGAAGAGTGTTGCTCCATATCAGAGAAGTGCGAACAGGTTCATGAGCCAGCTATTGGACAAAACAGAAGTGATTCTTCGGTGCCATTCAGTCACGAACTTGTAAAATTCTATACGGGGAACTATAAAGAGTATCTTGAATTCGAATGGTTCAAGTTGATTGATCTGGTGACATTTCATGTTTGAGGGGGAAACGAAAATAGAAGGCGAGGACACAAGCTGCACAAACAATTTAGCGAGCATAAAGCTCTCTCTCCTTAGCTCATATAATCGTTACCGAAGAAGTTTCCTTGATTGATTCTAATGGGCCTGGCCCGCTGTAAAGTTGAGCGAGTCCAATGCGTCTGAACTTACTATCGCCGCCAATGAAAATGTTTTCCTCTTTAACCCGCTGCAATATGAGCGCTAACCCTCGCGGTTCCCAACCGGTTTGATTTTGATGTGAGACCTGTAACATGTATGTTTCCCCATGACTGTATTCTGGCTGACAACCATCAACGTCTAGATCACGTTCCTCGTAGTGAAGTTTTGTTGAATAATTTAAAATTGTATCTCCTAAATTCGATTTCAAACTATGATCTTCGGTATAAAAGTCTCGAACGTCTCCGGCTAGCATCAACTTCCCACGGACTATGGGTTTACCAGAGGATACTGCCCCGTACGGATTGACACCTTCTACCGTGCAACTGACATCTTCAATTGCAAAGGAACTGTCAGCACGTTGATCTGGGACATAGAAGGTGTTCATGGCCCGACCATTATCAGTATTTTGACACACGACTGACGCCCATGACCATGTTGGTGCCACAAATCTTTCCGATCTTTTCAAGGAACGGGTGCCTCTGAAAAAATACCAAAGAAATCCCCTTGAGGATAACGAGCCGTCAATTTTACGAATCTTCCACAACCCGGCAACATACTGAGGATCCTGCAAATCCTCAGATTCATGTGATGAAATTGACTTTGATAATCGATTTAGAGCTTCGAATGTGCGACTTGCAATCCCGAAGAGCGCGGAAAGTCGATCTTCTTCCTTCGTTAACCGAAGAACGGCATAGTTCTCGATATTCAAATACCAGTAGTCAGGAATTTTATTGGCCTGCTGTTCATTGTCTTTATATGGCACCGAATTTATCCTTGCGCCATCTCTAGTGATCATCCTTGTTGGGTCGCGTTTGGGAAGCTCTGATATTCTGGTGCATTCGCACCATCTTTCCAGTTTACATTCCCATACTAGCTCTGTCGCGTAGAAGCTTACAGATCTGGGTGATAAAATCCGCTCTTGAAACACCCATCCTCGCGTATTGAGTGGTGCCATAGATTTCCTATTTCCATGGAAAAGATAATGTCTATCATGAGTTGTGCTTAAACTGGGTCGAATGAAGAATGGCCCGCTGCCCTCTAGTTTATGTGTGTCAACCCTCTATTATCAAGACTCCGAAGCTCTTCGAACGGTGGTATGGTTCCTCACACTCGGCTCCCAGGATACTCTGCATGTAGCTGTGCAAGCCGGGTGTTAAATAGTCCAGTTTGACTGTCTCGACCATGCGCAGCCGCTATATTTAGAAGCGAGCCAGATCATATATCAGCCATCAAAGCTGACTGTCGTTCCCAATCGGCAACATCATCCTGTATATTACAGACAGAATCAATCCATATGTATTGTATGTTCAGTCTGTGCGTGAGTAGTACCGCATCCCGAAATGTTCGAGAGAGTGTCGATATGTCAATGCCATTGGCGTGTGCACTGTAATTGTCCAACCTTGTTTTGTTACATTGAGCCGATCCCCAAGAGTGGCTCAATGTGGTATACTCCATCGGACGAGTTTGGTCAATTATTCTTGATTCCACTAACAGAATTCGGTTCTTTGAAATACACTGTTTTACATCAAGAAGGCGATGTGAAATTGGTACTTCTGATACATCGGCACTCTTGCCTATGGCTTGCACGGCATCTTGTTAACCATGGGCTTTTAATTACTAGAGCACTTTCAAATCGAAATTTGGAACGATATGTGGTGAAATTTTGAATGGATATAATGGAGTGTTTCTAGGAGTTTGGCGTAGATTATAATCTATATTGACTGATCGGCATTTATCCAGGTTGAATCTGTTTCCACTACAATGTATTACCAGGTAATTCATATATTTCCAACTTTTGACATTTATCATCTGTCGGCGGATATACTGGAGCACTCCATCATGGTTAATTTGACATCTTTTGCAAATATTACGACTTCTATTCTGGAATGACAAGCTGAAATCTATGCATATATGATATAAAACGAGAGAATTGGAGTGGCCCGATTTGCACGCAGCGCAAGAAGAACATGGCATCTTGATTTTGATGAAGAGACCGTGCAAATGTATGGGGTGTAGCTTATCGAGCACGGGACTATAAATCAATTTGAGTGAAGCATAGCCAATATTGAAACATCAAAGGTTCGGGGATGGTGGAAATCTCACTACAAGATGTAAGAATTATTCAGCCTTGTATGACAATGAACACGTGCACCAATCGAGTCTGAGGATTCCTGACAAATCGACCGAATACATATCGCCAACTCTCTAGAGATGGAAAGTATGTGTGATATAGAATGGAAGCGTCTGCAATGATATACCCCGTAGCCAGAAGTGATCGGGCAATGCATCAGCTAGTATAACGTAACAAGGATCAGTGCAGTATTCGAGCTATCAGAAACTATCGACCAATGAGACTGTAAGTAGATGTTGAAGTGCTATGGAATATGTTATAATCATTTTTGCTCTAATTAGCAGTACATAAATTCGTATTCCTAAATCTGCCTTTTCTTCCACTGTTCAGTATAGTTTTGTCTATTTGAATACTTGAATGGTCACCCGATTAACCATTTCAAGTAGAAGAAAGAGGCTTTTTGCTCATAGTCTGCTTAAAAGCTTGCAACGCCAAAGCAGGTGTGTAATAAGGAACCTCATGACCAGCCCCAAAGACTCTCAACCAACTCAAGTTACCAACGGTTTTGAAGGTTCCTCCAGCAACACCATTTACATTATAGTTTGCAACGGCAGCAGCGTTGAAAGCGGCGGAGCTAGCATATGTGATAGCATTGGCGGTTGCGAGACCACCGAACCAGTTACAGATCCAATCAGCATCACCAGCCCAGATAAGGACTTGGATACCAGATTGAACGACTGTAGAGAGAGTTGGGAGAAAGGACCTCGAATCTGTTTTGATATTCCTTAGTTAATCGAAAAACATCAAGGATGAAGGGGTAACTGACCATCTCCAGTAGCAGCAAACTTCTCATAAGGAGCATCTGGACACTCAGTATAAGTAGACTTGGCACCAATGGCCTTCACAACTGCTGCGCTTTGCAAATATGTAGCATAATTCTCTGGCGGATATGGATCATTCGATGGCTCTCGAATATCATAAACATCAAAGTTTCCACTTGAAAGTGGCCCCTCGATGTCATTATAACAAACATTATCAGCATTTACACAAGCTGAGTTAGTACCAGTGGTTGAGGTACATTCTTTCAAAAGTGGAAGACATGACTTGGTATATGTATTGAGATAGGATGTGTGTTGAGCAGCGGAGATGAGAGATTTGTATGTGTTATTGTAGGAGTAGTCGACGTATGCCTTATAAGAGATGATAGGATCATACCATCCGTTGTTGATACCTAAAGCAACGAGATCAATCTTTTCACCAGCAATAGTGCCAGCCGCAATCTTGGCATTTTGTTGTTCGAGATAGTATGCAAATTCTGGTCCATAATGACCACCATAGGATTCTGTGAAGATACCAAAATCGCGATTCTCGTAGGCGGGGAAGGAGGCATAGAAAGCTTGGAGAAGTGTCCAGATGTATGGAGCAGCGGTAACAGTGGAGGTTACAGAATCAGTACCGTAGGAGAAGCCTACTCCAATCGGTTGATCAATATAGATCATGTTTGCGAATTCATTGAAACTGTATGGGTTGAGGGATGGAGTTGATGCCCCGTTGTAGAATTGACATGGACCATTCTCTTGGAACAACCCAATCATAGAAGAACATCCAGGGCCTATTCTTCTGTTAGTAAAATGTAGCTTGATATGAAAGATATTGCATGTACCTCCGTTAAACCATGTCGCTAGTGGTGCAGTGGTTGGACTGTTTCGGCTTTCAAAGAACCAGAACCACATGTTCATACCCTGATACGGATGTCAACATTGAACTATTCTCTAAAGAATGTGTTATACTCACAGTTCCGACGGTCAAATATCCGGAATACTGGTTCACACCTGGCGTGGTCTCGCAAATGCCAGAGTTTGTGACAAATGCAAGTGTGGAATCGGTGGCGGCATGATAAAAGACAGTATGGTTGACTCCGTCACGAAGCTCGAATGATCGTTTGTCTTTCTTCCCTTCAGTGGTAGGGGCAGCTAGAACAGCCGGAAGAAGACAAGCGACTAGGGAAAGCGAAGGGAAACGCATTGTAATTGTAGTCGAAGAATTGAACTGGAGGTGGTCTAGCAACTACAAGACTTAATCTTGGCGATTCATCTCGAACTTATATCTTTTTTTTCCCCCATCACTTCACGCACCCTCATCTCAATCCCTAACGCTACTATGCGCTCTACGTCTGGAAAATCGAGATACACACGCGGAGATCGTTCCAAATGAAGCAGGTCTATAATTTAAGGTACCAGAATAATCTCAAAAGCTTCAATCCCCGCCGGCACTAAAGGGTAAAGTTGAAGAAACCTGGACGATCATGGAAGGTAATCTCTCATGGTACTTCGATTGCCGTTGATAAGACCAACGCATCTACCCCGTATACAACGGTTAACATTGCATAAATGACAAAGTCCCGAGCCTAGGCAGGAGATCCAACGGATATATGCATAACATGGAAGCCAAATGTTATATTCAAGTATCTAAACTCCTCAAAAGGGCAGCTGGTGATGGGCTTGGCAGCGAATGATAAGCTTTTCGTGGCCGAGATCTTTTTCCAGGGTGCCAGATATCGACATTCCTGTTTGGGAAGTTTTGGTGGTTTAGTGCGGAAGATGTGACTTGTCAAATAGGTGGATGCTTGTACAGCAGATGATGATGAAAGCGGGAGGACTATGATGGAACCTCAATCGTGAATGTGGAAAATACCGCAGTAAACGACGGTCACTTAAAGATTTGACAACACGAAAAATGTCAGACGAACATTCTTGTGACATACTTGAATTGATTTCACCATCTTGGGATGTATGGCGAGCTCTTTCTATTGATTGATTGATTGAATGCATTGCTTGAATGAAGTTGAGAAATTGAGGTTCCCGAGTTGCAGGGTCTTCAGCACCAGCACCTTTAGCCGAGCATAGGCTCAGGTCATGCAAGATCCACCCGTCTTGTACAAAATTGGCTTCCGTTGGCAAAACGTGTTTGAATACTGGGCCCTTGGCAGTCCGACGACAGAGAATACTATCAAAGTACTAGTTTGAAGTTTGATATAAAAGGGAGATGATTGTATATACTGGCAGTTTTTGTTCTGTTCCCCGAATCTAGTTTCAAACCTTGTTGACGATAAGATACCCTGCTCAATTTGCTTGTGTCTAGACGACGTAGAGTTTCCCCCAGAATTCCTTTGTCGTGCAGCGACGTGATGAATTGCCGTCCCTCACGTGAACTGCACACCTATGCAGGTTACTCCCAAAATGAGCAAGTTGCGTTACTTCATTGTCAATTTTTGTGCGCGGAAACCGAGTCACAATGAAAGCGATCAATCGAAACGCCCAGGTCTCCTTGCCAGCTTCAATACATCAAGATGAATTATAGGGACTTACTTGTAGCGCTTATAAACACTCAGAGTATGATTACTAATTGCAGGAATTTCCATTCAAAACAGGAATATAGAACAAACAACTCACAACTACTAGATTAAGCTGCTTCGACCAATTCCTTGCATATGTAATTCTTATCCTAGCTCAGTGTCAGCATGGAAATGAAAGCCAGAAAACATGTATTAGTAAACGGTCTACTGGGGCTATTGTAAACAAAAGGATGGTGTTCATGAGTAATACATATCGCGAAAACATTAAAAGTTGAAATGAAGTAATTCTATTCAAAAATACTAATTACTTTTGCATCCTGGGTATCATCTTCAACATGTCCTCCACCATTTATTCATCTCATCTATAATATCATGATCTTTCACCGATCAAGATACATAAATATGTATCGTACCTCCCCTCCTCAGTAAATCATAACTTTCAGCTCATCCAGGATAAGAAACATTATTATCCTCAAATACCTATATATATAAAAAAGTCAAGAAAAAAAAAAGAACGCCAAGGGTATAATACCATGAATGACAACCAAGCATCCATGAATCATGATATCCGGTTCCCAATCGCGTCCATTACTACCTCTCCCCTCGTGCAAAAATCAATGAAAGTTCATCAATTAATCGTTTCTGAATCCATCATGAGCGGCATTGCCACGGTGATGAGCTTGAGGAACGGCTGCAACATTGTCTCCATCGCTACGGCTCTTTCTTTCTCTTCCCTCCCACTGTGGCTTCTCTTTCTCGACATCACTTGTGCTTCTGCTCTCGACATCTGCGGTTTCAAAGCCATAGTGTCTTGCCATCTGCTCGACCTCAGCGGGAGATAAGTATGGCAAATCATGAGAAGCCTTGACGTATGAGATGTTTTCGACGAATCCCTTCGCAAAAATGATATCGATTTCCTCGAGAGATCTGCGCTTGGTTTCTGGGTAGAAGAAATAGATAACTGGGATGAAACAAGCGTTGACAACGGCGAAGAAGAGGTATGTACCCCAAGAGATATTGGCAATCATGATAGGTGTGACCATAACAATGGTGAAGTTGAAAAGCCAGTTGGAACAAGTTGACACGGCGTTAGCTCTAGCACGGGTGCGAAGAGGGTTAATTTCAGCTGGGTACAACCATGGTAGTGGCAACCAGGTGGCTCCGAAGAAAGCAATATAGGTGAAGAGACCAACTCCAGCGCCCTTGGCACTTGGTCCTTTTCCATCTTGTGGGATAAGACAAGCGAAGACGAGGACCATGGAAAGACACTGTCCAATAGTACCAACGATGAACAACTTGCGACGACCAGCCTTCTCAATAATGAACCAAGACACAGTTGCGAAAATAGAGTAAACAATCATGTTGACACCTCCAAGGAGAAGAGCCAAGTTCTTCGAGGTACCGATGGAGGTTTCGAAGAGAATCGGGAAATAGTAAATAACGGCATTACATCCACCAAGTTGTTGGAAGAATTGTGAAGATGATCCAAGAAGCATACGGCGGAAATGTTGGGTTTTACCTCCAGTGAAAAGAGCTGAGAAGGGAGTCTTGGTAGCGGCTCCGGATGCCATGATACTGTCCATGATAATGGTCTTCTCCAATTGAACTTGGGGATCGTTATGTTCAAGACCAGAGAGAGCAGCAATGACATCGAGTCCCTCTTCGTGGCGCTCTTTAGCAAGGAGCCATCTTGGAGATTCTGGGAGGAAGTAAGTTCCGACAATGAGGATGACACCGAAGAAAATCTGGAAAGCAATTGGGAATCTCCAGGTAAGGTCATCTGGTCCATAAGAAGCACCATAATCGATCCAGTAAGCAATCATAGTACCGAAAGCGATAACTCCTCCTTCAATACAGATGAGCAAACCACGGTTGGTAGATCGACTACATTCTGCTTGATAAGTGGGAATAGTGGATGTGTTAATTCCATTTCCTATACCAGTGACGGTTCTTCCAATAATAAATTGAGCAGTTGCGTTGGAGCCTTTGATAGCAGTAATTTGAATCACAACTCCAATAATCATGATAACTCCACCAAGCATCATCTGTAAAATTTCAGTCAGAATATCTTATCTTATCGGAGGAGTCTGGGGATGCGGGGAAATGGGGTAAAGCTTACAGCTCTTCTTCTACCAATCGAGTCTCCATACCACAAAATGAAAATAGCACCTAGTAAACATCCGATTTCGTAGATGGCTGTGACGAAACCTTGGTAAACACTGTCATCTTTGGTCTCAGGGAAGTAGTTGTTAAAAGGGTCTGCGGCGATAATTCCTGACATAACACCTTGATCATATCCAAACAACAAGAATCCAGTTGTGGCAATCGTTGAGACTAATAGACCCAACTTTCGGCCGTGAAGACCAGCAAAGGTCTTTTGCGTTGGCGATACCTCGGAAGAGACCATTTTGCCTATTGTGTATGGTGTATCTGAGAGAGGAAATCTTCAAGATTTCGAGAACGTCTGGCTCTGCCAGCAACTATCAAATTTTGTCAAACACAACGCTGTTGCGCTACTGAAATCAACTTGTGGAGGTCTGGAGAAATAGAGGCAGGAGATATGAGATGAAAGTGATAGAAAACTGGAACGAGGGGGAAGATCTCTTGCTATATACTTGTTGATCTATCCCCCATCCTTTGTCTTACATACTCGGTGGGTCCGCTATCTGTGAATGAAGGAGAGCAGAGTCCACATTTACACATGCAGCATGCTTATTCTTCCAACGTCGGAACGACAGTTTTAGGAAACCCGCATAAAAGCTGTGACCTAGTCATTGAAGTAACCGCCTGCAGGGAAAGTGTCAGTTTTGCAGAGCATTTTTACAGGGGATCTCAAGGCTCGTTGGTTGTAGGATCACGATGCTGTGAGAGTTGAATGTGTTCATGTGGAGCACCCAAGCATTGGGCTTGAGATCTGCATCGAAATTCATGAGTAGGTAAGACCCATGTAAGAAAGCGGTGACTGAATCGTCAAGTGAGAGAAGATTTAAATTCGTGTGATTGGATGATATTGTCAGAATGAAATGAAGAATCTTACTCTTCGTCCATGAGCCAACGGCATTTGCGTGACTACGAAGTAGTTCGTTCTGGTAGGGGTATGAAAAGAGAATTCGATAGACCCACAGCAGACGTCACTGGCTGGCTAAAAGATGCCTGGAGTTTTTCAAGGTTTGAGTGTGGGATTGAGGAGGAGAGTGTGCCTGTGTGCTCATGAGAAGTGGGACGTTATTCTGATTCTTATTATTAATCTTCGGAGTGGAGGCCAGCATCGTTGTGGGGAGTGTTTGTTATCTAGGGACTCGTTCCTCTGGAAATGTGTGCTTGTCCCCATTGTTATGGTTCAGATACAAAAAAGAAACACGAACAAAATACAGTTTGAACGAAGTCAATCGGGAAGGAAGTAAGGTTCGTTCCTAAAAGACGGAAAGGCTTTTTTTCTCTCACTTCGAAGCTTATCCGGTCGGCACATGGTTAGCGAACTGCTGGCCCGAAAACTTAACATCTTGGCCACAACAGTCACCTCGGTAAGGTTCACTTGGCGTTTATCAATGAAAGAGGCAAAATTAACTTTCATGAATTCCAACATATGTCAAGTCAGACAAGTATTTTCTAGAGAAAATATTTTCACCAAGCGCGCAAATCATGATTTCAACAAGAAAATGACGGTGATCTACCCCCCGAAAAATCCTCACACGTCAAACGTTATTTCAACCAAATATTTGCGAAAATGAGATGCAAAATAACGTCATAGAGGAACTCCCACACCAAGATAGACCGAGGCAGATCCGAGATAACAGATGGGATCTTTTGTGTGTGTGGAATCTGAAGGACCCTGCAGCGGAAAAGTTCATAGGCGGAGGAAGGATTCAGTGGGTGGCTGGCGCGAAGTTGGTTATACTTCCGGGAATGCAACGGGACGAGTGAGATAATGAGGAGTTCAGAAAATATGTGGGACGTGCTCCGATGTTGTGGATTTAAAGTGGTTTGGTGGATTTTATGGAGTGAACTGGAGTACCTAACGGAGTTACTAACAAACGTGTGTATTTGGTTCCACTATGGGTCAATGGGTTCCAACTTTCTCTTTCATAGAGACTAATGAAGCACTTAATTTTCTCACCCCCAATCCCCAGTTCCGAGGATAACGCGTTGATATGGACACTAATGACTTTCCTGGAGAAGCACGTCTCGTATTTAGGTTGTTTATCCGAATCGATAGGTGATAGCGTATCATCGCAGGCAAACGGGCACTTTTGATTGAAATCAAACGCAGGCGAATGCTACTCCATCTTGATGTGTATTCAGCCATTCCGTATACGCAAGGAGGGATTAAGAATGCAGAGAATGAAAGGAAGAAATATCATTTTGTTGCAGCCTTGAACCCTGATTTGTTGTCTAATTGTTCCGATCATCCTTACTGGTGAAACGCGGAAAGATGGAGGAATTGGGTGGAGAATGGAGACAACTGTAGAGAGGCTGGGTCCTCCACAACCTTGAACTTACATTCAACTTCCCCAATCACAGACCACCAAATCACGAGTTTGAAAACTCCGAAGAACGTGACTGGGTTCATTATCACGTATCCCGGGAAATCGTCTGATGTTGTCTTGCGGTTTGCTGCGGCGTCAATATTCGGGACTGCAAAGCGTGATGCATCGCTCGCAGTAGCCAAAGAGTTGGTAATATCCGAATTTGAGCTACTAACTTGAAATCGGTGTCCTACTCGGTGCGTAGTGGGTGTCGATCACAATCATGTGCCAAGGATGTCTATCCTCAAATGGTGAAAACCCAAACAAACATCGTATTTTGTTACCACCCGTTTCCAAATGTCCACCCATAGAAGTGGTTGAAAGTTGAGACACACTTGTGTCAGAAACTCAAGATAAGACGAGGAGCGGTCTGTATACCATTATTCGGGCGGCCGGGAAAGTCGGCATAGATGAGTACGAGCAGAGTATCAGACTCCTAAGGCGTCGTTGATTACAATATCTTTGGCCGGGAAACTCACCTGAAATGGCAATTTTGGCAGGGGCAGGGGCAGCGTCGAGAGTCGGAGAGTGAGAAAGGAATGGACGATTTGATTACGGCGGAGAAAGGGTGGAGAACAAGCTAACAAAACGAGAGAATGAGGTCATTATCTGACTCCATTTTGTCTTCGCATTTATCAATCAGGGGGGTATTACGCGATGGATTCGTGGAGGTTATCACGACAGCTTCGTAATATAAAACAAATTTTGTCCCGCGAAATTGAAGATTGAATAAGATATATTTCTTGCAATCTCAGAACTCCAGAAGAGACTTTTGGCCATCGTGAAGAAGGAGTCAATAGTGAGTATAGTCGGACGGTGTTGCCGTGTCAATCTGTGTTGTACGGTTGATCTGGCCCCTTCTCCTGTGACTTGTCAGATGCAAGTGATCGAGTTGATCACTTCTATTCACAGCAACTGTCAATAAACAAATGGATGATCCTATTGAAGGATTAACCTGCACGAAACCCTAATTATGGATCGCTGGGAAAGCAAAAATGGAAATTATCGGTGGAACAACAGAATTTGATAATATGGAATGATAAAGCTAAAAAGGTGGAGGCTTCGTACTGCAACTATTTAATCTACTAAACTCGAAAGGGTAGGAAATTTGCGATATACTCTTTGGTTCTACCAAAGTTGACACATCACGTTACTTTCCTGCCCTAAGGTCCCTTTGATCCTCAGAACTACCTCCACCGCGCATCAACTTCTCAGCCAAGGCCTTCGCTTTCTCCCTCGCCGCCAAATTCTCTCTCTCAATGGTGCTTTCTGTTGCATGGCATTGATATTGCCCTTCCCGCATGGCTCTTTTCTCCTGCAATTTTCTAAGCTCCTCTTGATCTGCTCTTTGATTAAATGAAAGTGTCTTTCCCATTGAAGACAAATCACCATCTTCAAAATCAGTAGAATTATCAGCCCAAGCGATACCCTTACCTTTCTCTTTTCCATCACGTCTCAATATACCTTTTGGCGAAGCTTGCTCACTCTTATTTGCAGTTTCGACTTCTCCTTGATATTTTGATTTTTCCCTTTCAAACTTGGCGTGGGCTGCTTCGCGTTGCGTACGAATTTTCCATTGAGCTGGACTTTCGCTTAGCAGTAGACGAGAATCTCGAATGGCTGGCACGGGGAAAACAACGGGTAGATGTTCGAGCTTTGGGTTCGGCCTTTGCCGAGGTTGTGTCACTTTTGGGACTAAGGGAGACATCGGAGGTATTTGGATATGTTCTCGTGGCCGATAGACAAAAGGTCGGTCCTTTTCTCCTTGTGTCGATCGGAAAGCCTGCGGTGGAATATCCTTTTTCGGTACGTAATTGTCACCATAGCGTTTTTCACGACGAGGAGGCTCCGGTAAGCCACCACTATGGGCCCATGTGCATATCCATTTCCACCACGGCTCCTAGATTCTGGTTCATTTCTTGCCGAAAGTGGTGATGAATATCCTAGTCTGGCATATGCTAGAGGACTCTCATCTCGAAGTCGCGAATCTTTATTCTCACTGTTAGACACCACTTCTGTCGTGTTTTCCTCAGCCCGATCTTTATTCACAAAGTCCATGAGCTGTTCTGCACCCTTCAGCACCATCCTTTCAGCAGTCGCGATAGCTCGATTGACACTCTTTAGAAGATTCTTCCGCGTACTTTCGTCATCTTGCCTTATTGCTCTTCGATGGCCTTCGCTTTCCACCCATTCCCTGTTTAATTTTCTTCTAGATTCAGCTAGTTGTCTTGTTCCTGTAGGTGCCTTTGGAGATCTCCTTCTCCCTGATTTAGTTTTTCCATTCTGTCTCCCGCTTTCACCGTTTATGATATCAATAAGCGACTGTCGAAGAGAATCTTCATCATGCCGAATATTACGCTCATTCCTCTCATCAATTGCGTTTCCGGATAAAACCCCTCCAGTCCTCGATCTATTCTTCGGATATTGCACATCGGTGATAACTACTTTATCATTACCATCAGCACCAGGCATAATGTCGTTCTTGATCTCTGCTTTGTTTTCTCTAAAATCTTTCAAAGCTCGATCTTGCCATCGAGCATCGATTTGCTCTTTTGCAGCTCGACGACGACCTTCCATTTTCAAGGTTTCTTTTTCACGTTGAAGATCTCGCAACTTGATCTTCGCGTCTCGCCAATGTGTAAGTTCTCTGGATTTTGATGCTTCGCGGTTCAATGACGTTTCTGAGTCTTTGAGAGGAAAGCTTTTTATATCAAGAGCAGCGTTGCGTAACGAAGACGAGCCCTCTCGTGGTGCGTTGGTAGGAGTCTGAGTCCCTGGCTTTTCTATGACGGGACTGGAATCACGCTCAAATATTGCACCTTCCTCTAGAGTAAGACCAGTAACGTGTATTCTTAGCTCCGATGGTGTGTTTGCATCAGTGTTGTATTCAAAAATTTGCGCAAGCAGCTTTTGCCGCAACTCCTGAGCGGATGGTGTCGCATTGCTTCGAGCACTGCTTGATGCTTTGGGTATGGACATGTCATTCATCATGATGGCTTCCTTTATTGTAAAGTAGTATGAGACGGCTAATCGTACGATGAGTTTCGTCAAGCAAGATAGACTCTCTGAAATAAAGTACCCATGATACCGAGTGTTCACTGGAATATGGACACCTGTCACTTGCTACGGCAAATCATTTACAAATGTTATACACGGATTGAAGATAGTTACACCATTTGTTATTGGATTCATTCGAATTGTTATTAGTAGCAAGAACTAACGATGATTCAGTGGTGGTACTGTCGTATAATGTTGCAAGGTTGTACTAGCAAACTTTAATTATGATTAGAAAAGTTTGTTTGGGGTACTCGGATGAACACGCCCATTTTATAACGGTACTTTGTACGCTGAGGAAATGCAAAAGTATGGAAACTTTTTGTTTTGAAACTTTGTTTCTTTTTGAGAAAAAGTGACTATTGTCGACAATATACCTTCTCTTTCGGGATGGAAACGAGTGTCCAATGCTGCCGTCAGCATAATCCTTTGCAATTAGATCTATTATTGCATACCTAGGTTTCTCTCTTTCACTATACAGGATGCATACAAGCCGTCTTTTGTCCAAGTAAAACAAGAGAGAAAGAATATGTGATTGCCTTTATATCTCCGTCTTGATAATCATGAAGATTTCACTTGATGAATCACTAACGTGAAAGAGAATGTTCTCTCATCTCTTTTTATACAATAGAGTCATGCAAGGAATCTGCAAGAAAACTAGTTCTTTATGATGCTTCAACCATACTCTAATATAATCATGGAACATCTTGTCTCTTCCTCAAGTTTCTCCCATCAATCTTGAATTAGTGACATCTTCGACCATGTCATCAAGTAACTCTAACGCTATCAATGCTGCCATTGCGGCCGGAGTTGCTGCTCTAGCAGCATCTGCCACCACCCAGACTGATAAAAAGAACGCCGCTCTGCAAACCAATCCTTTGCCGACCCGAAGAGATGAAATGCGTGCCGTCCTCAAGAAACTTACAGAATTGACACTCCAACTTTCCCTGATGGATTTGGATCAAGATCAGAATTTAGCTGAAGCTGACTCACTCATTACCTTCACCCCTCCAACTGTCCCTACCCCAGCAATGCAGGTACGCTCACCCGCCTTTGACCACCCATTCCAAATACGTCAATTTCGACCTCCGTTCGACGTCTCAATCCATTCAGTCAGCGGCCCTATTCCACCCGAACGAGGGGGTACGAAATGGACGCCTGCGCGCAGCAACGCTCCACATGACGAAATAGCTGCTGCCGAGAATTGGGAGAAGCGAAAGCAGATCCTCTATCATTTCTTCGCCTATAATTATTTCGACACCCTTCCCGGTTCTCCCGCTGCGGAAACTGCACTTAGAAATGTGTCTTCAGCTCGATCCGGCCCAGAAGTCCAAGCACGTCCGCGTTCTAAGAAAGCCAGTTTGGGTCTGCTCAATCTCACGGATTCCGATTTCAATTTCCTGAATCATACGTCAGAGCGGATGGCCAATATCGCGCATGATACACACTACAGGCTAGCTATCTACCTGAAGTACATGCGTAGCGAACTCATTGAGCCCACCATAAACCCATCTATCAATCTCATTCTCCTATCTGCCAGCCATCGCGAGGCTTTGTTGTTCAGAATCTTTGAGTACAATAAAGATCGTCATCCGCGCGCGAGATTGATGATGCGATTTTTGACAGATGCGGATGTGAAGTATCTAGATCGTTTGAATACATGGTTGATGCCACGAGGAGACGATGGACGGGTCGGAAGTATGGAGAGAATCATATCTGGAGTTTCGGATTTCGTGGGAGAGAGTGCTCGTGGAGATAGGCCGGATAGCCAGTTCGATGAGAAAGTTGAAGAGTGTTTACGTTTGTATAGATGCTCGGAAAAACCCACGCATACTGTTTATCGTGGTCTTTCAGGTTCCGAGGGAGTTTAGGGGATGGATAACGGAGAAACCCACGAGGAGCATTTAGTACTAGCAATGTACTGCGTTGAGTTTAGTTGTGGAATATTAGCATTTAGTGCTTAGGTAGGGGCAGCCAACTTACAAGTAGAATTCAGACGATTGGTCTTCACTGTCTAAATTGTCAAGCACATTGTAGAATAACCCCGCAATCTGACGGACAACACTGAACTGAAAAATGCTACTTGTACCACACGTAATTCCAAATCTTAAAAGGTAGTGCATCATCACATTCATACCCGTAGGGATTGACTTGGAACTAGAAGTCTAATTAGGAACGAGAAAGAGAGCCTAGTGCGAAGATATATCGATACATGCGTTTGCGAACAAATGACATATGAACAACCGGGGAACTTGGATTCCCAGGTACGAAACTATATATAGCATTGATCTTGGTAATTCCTTCCATGTTGTCACTTTATACCTATTTCACAATCACGTCAACAATACGAAAAGTCCCATACCGATATAAAAACACAAGTTTCATACTATTGTATCACTAAATCAAAATTAGGACTATCTCGCTCGTGCGCCATGCTCCCGATGTACCCAAACCTAATGCTAATGTAACCAATTCCAATTCACCAAATCAATGCAATAACAAACAATTCCAACTTATGACCCGCTCGGGCCCGCTTCCTCATCATTGTCCTTCCCATCTCTTGGCTTCCCTCTTAGAAATTCTCCAAGTGTATTACTCAAACTCCGAGGTCTGGTTTTCATTGAACGGTTGAGTGATTCACGTTCTTCTATCTCTTGTGCTGCTTTATTGTCCTTCAAAGGTGCATCAATATCCTCATCATCAGTTGCGCCTTCACTTGCTTGTATAAGTCTTTGGGATACTGATTTTGATCTTCGGAGATCGGGCTGCCGTCTAGAAGATTTGCTGCGAGGGGAATCAACTCGACGTCTTAATGAATCTGCTATTACCACACTTAAACCTCCGGATAGAGGCGATAATAATGGACCAGGAAGCATACGAGATAACGAATAACTTGTTGGCGTCATTGGTCGCTCTGCTTGGGGTGGTGACGGTCCATTTTGTTGATTCTGAGGGGTATGGAAATGAGATTGCGTATTATTCCTAGTGGGAAGTGGCCGTATAGGTGGGGGTGATTGAGCCTCGGAAGGTAGCACTGGGGATGAAATACTGGATTGTATACCTGGATGTTTTGGTTTTTGTAGGAAGTTTTCATTTGAGTCCAGCCATGGGTTGGAGATTAGGGGGCTTTCCTCACTTGCAGGTCGATCACCAGACAGATCCGATGTACGCACTCGTACTACTGGATGTCGTGATGGTGATATTACGAAGCTAACATGTGATGACCTCCGCGATTCTTGAATTGCTTCTTCGTCGACAGACCCATCACTAGCATGGGTCAGGCTCGGCCTTGACTTCGATTGAAGACTAGATCGTTTCCGTGTATCGTTACGAAATGGAACTTCATCGCTGGTAGGTTCCTGGGTGGAGAGTCGAATCCGTTCTTCCTCGCCATCAACATCCGCTTCACTAACGTTCTCATCGTCATGCGATGGCCTACCGCTGGTAATGAGCCAAACCCCGAAAAATGTCAGCATACAGCCACCGATAAATTTTACTGCATTCTCGCTAGTGACTTTTTCGAAATCGCGATAGAGAATTGCGCTGCCAGTAATAACCGATAATGTGAAGATGACGAATTGTACAGGAATAACTTGAGTCGAATCGAAGCGTTGAAGAGCCCGGTTGACATATCTAACCTGCATAATGGCGGTAGCAACCAGCACGAGCAGAAGAGCATATGTAACCGGTGTGGTCAACGCTCTCCAAAGAGTAGAAGAAAGCATCGATGATACACCCTTGGTTGAAAGTGCTGTATAGCCTCCTAAATAATGGTCAGTTGAACTGAAATCGGTGTGCAACAATGATTACTCACCAAACAATCCAACAAGTCCAAGATCAACCAATATTGTTTTCTTGCCATATCTCGGGCTTGCCCACATCAAGATCGCAATTAACAATACTGTGACACCCATATAAATTTCAAACTCAGTAGTAGTAATAGCACCCCAAATCTCATGAGGTCCAAATTTCTTTTCTTCTTGCTTGGCACTCAAGACGACTGTAACAGCACCTGCAACAGCAACTACCACTCCCCAGAAGTCCCTGAGTCTGAATTGTTCCTTCAGCATGATCGGAGCTATCACGCAGTTCGATATCAAGGCGACGACACCCAATGGAGAAACGATTGACGCGGGCGCAAAGCCATATGCCAAAAAGTTTCCAAGCTCTCCAATAGTCATTAAAACAATCCCTCCCCACCAGTATGGAGACCGCAAGTATGTAGATTTTTCATCAACATCGTCGTCCTCTGTGCAAGTTGAAGATTGAGAATTTTGGGAGCGAAATGATCGTCGTAAAGGCTCCTCTTCACCACCTTCGTAGTTCTCTTCGACAATTCTAGTCCTATTCGCCTCCGCTGTTCCAATTGTTCCATACCCCCCCGCAGATTTCGAAATAGCCTTCAGCCTCTCTTTCCGTCGCATGTCCCCCTCATGCAACCTTATGTGTGCATATCGCTGTATGTTTAGAGCGAAAGATATGAGAATATTGCCCACTATTGCAGTGACGATTCCAATCAGAGATGACCATCGCTGAATCTGAGAGTCGCCCCTAATATATACATTTGATTCGAATGGTATAGACTGCGGTATCGGTGTAGTGAGAAAGGATATGGTCTCCGCATCGAGTTTCGCCGTCGACAAATACATGGCAGCGTGCAGCGTCTTATTGAAGCTATACCGATGATGATGATTTCACCCCACTCATAGTGTACGAACAGGGGCGGCCAAGTCTGATGGAGATCTAAACTTTGTTCGCTGAAAATGAAAATGGTATGAATATTTTTCTGATATTAAACATACACAACAATGGATAGAGTTAGGTGAGAAGGTTGGTTTTGAAGGGTTGGTTTGATTGTTGCATGAATTATTAAATTTTCTTTTTTGATATAATCTGAAGCGCCCTTTTTCAGATCATAGTGATACCTAATGCCTGCTCCTGCCCTTTTGTGGTACTGCGGCGAGAGCGGGAAACGGGATTTCGCGTATCTACGAGTCTACCTAGCTCGAGCCCAGTAGGAACGACCCGCAAGAAGCTCTGTTCCCCAGGCAAGTATTCAATTCAATCTTCACGACAACAAAGCTTCAAGCTTTCAACGTGCACACCTGGTCAGAGTCCGCACTCAAGGTTCTTCACTTCAATTGATATCATATAGCCATATCTCAAGTAATTACCATCTTCCTCTGCTATCCTCTAACAGCAATCGCAAACAATACCTGAATATCAAAGGTAACCTACGAGGGGGACCATCTGAACAATGAGCGACGACGAAGATTTCCAAATCGAAGGCCCGGAACTAGCAGATGATGATCCCATGAGAGCTTTCTTACCAGCGTCCTTTGGTAAAAAGTCAAAAGAGGCAGATGTAGCCGCGCAAATCGATAGAACAAGACGACCAGCAGAAAGGAAGGCCGAGGCGCCAAAAGTGGCTACTGAGGAGGTTGGACAAGAAGTTGGACAACAGAAGCTCGCGTCAGAGCCAGCGTCTAAGGATTGGGGTTCTGATGAAGATGATGCGGATTCCGATAGCGATGGGGGCTCTGACGACGAAGATGAATATCCAACTTCTCACGAATTGATACTGAAAACCCATGAACGCGCGGTTACTACCACAACACTTGATCCTTCAGGTTCACGACTCATAACTGGTTCTAGCGATTGTACTCTCAAGTTTCACGATTTTGCTTCAATGACCCCAACAACTCTTAGATCGTTCAAAAGCGTGGATCCAAATTATGCAAAAACATCAGCAAACTCCGATACCCATCCGATAAATCATGTTGAATTCAATCCACATGCCGGAGGGACCTTTCTCTGTATATCCGCTCATCCGCAAGCGAAATTAATGAATCGAGACGGGGATATTATCGGAGAGTTCGTGAAAGGAGACATGTATCTGAGAGATATGAATAACACGAAGGGGCATATTTCGGAAATTACTACAGGTACATGGAGTCCGATGGATAAGAATATTTGCGTGACAGCCGGTACGGATAGTACTTTACGAATTTGGGATGTAAATGTCAGAAGATGTCAGAAAGAAGTTATTGTTCACAAATCCAAGGCTTCAGGATCAGCTGGAAGGACAAGAATGACTGCCGTTGTCTGGGGAGGCCCAGCACAAGGAGGAAACAATCTTTTAGTCTCTGCAGCTCTGGATGGAAGCTTAGTAATGTGGGGTGGTCATGGACCATATGCAAGACCAACAGCTGAAATCAGAGACGCCCACACTCCGGATACATGGACGGGTGGTATTGATATCAGTCCTGATGGCCGAATGGTTGTTACACGAGGTGGTGACAATTTGATCAAACTTTGGGATACTAGAAAGTTCAAAACTCCCATTGTGACAGCCTCACACCCCTCAACATCAGATGTCTATTCGGTTACCAATATCAAATACTCACCTAATGGTGCCAATATCATCACTGGTTCTGCTTCGGGTCATTTACATATCTTAAACTCGGGCAATCTTAAACCAGAACTAGTTACCCCAGTGACACCAGGATCTCCACTAATAACAGTTCAATGGCATTCAAAACTCAATCAAATTGTTACTGGATCTGCAAATTCCGAAGTTCATGTTCTATACAATCCGAACACATCTGTTCGAGGTGCCGTTGACGTAATGTCTCGTGCACCAAAGAAACGCCATGTCGACGACGACCCCAACTTTACAACAGATCAATCTGCTGGCATGTCAGGGGATAGTATCGTTACTCCAGGTGGTGTCATGTCTAATATTTCGGCCACATCCTTCTCTGCAAGACATCCTACCATAGGCTTGACTGCCTCAGGCCGTTCTCGAGATCCACGCCGACCTAACTTACCACTGGTCACACCATTTGCGAAAAGTCAACCGGATGAGAAACATATTAACGAAAGTATCACACTGAGTAGCATGCGAGATGAGGACCCCAGAGAGGCATTATTGAAATATGCTGAGCTTGCTAAGACAGACCCACTATTTACCAATGCCTGGAAAGATACTCAACCGACAACTCAGTATGCTGAAATAAGTGACGAAGAAGATGAAGGGCCAGACAAGAAAAAAGTAAAGAGATGATCAGTTTTAGCGATGAGATATCCGCACTACTTCTATAGGGCGAGGAGTACATCGGGGATCAAGGGGTGTATTGAGATCATCTAATAAGTCTAAGCAATGTTCCGGCAAGTTTATAACATGATTCCTGATTATATGAAGCAATACTCAAAGCAGGTTACTATCTTTCGATCCCAAAGCTACGATGTTTGACCCATCTACACCAGCTCATCTTTTAAAGAAGCAATCATCGTTCGTGGTTTAATTCTTCTTTGATATCATCACAGCAAACGTGGTGATAGCAAACATTCGGAAAAATTATTCAATCTCACGTGAGCCCGAGAATAGGATAGGCAAGAGGTAATACCAATAACGTTCAATGCGTAGTAGGTTCATAGTAATAACTTATACTTTATCTATCATACATTCACTCTGTTGCGGCTGCCGTCATTCTTGCAACTGAATTTTGTATTGTAATTCTCTTCATTATCATATGATAGTTCCTTTATTATTCAGGCTCAAGTTACAATTGTCAACTATTGACTCTCAACTCTCAACTCTCACTTAATCACATATTGACTCATCCTATTCTGATGCTCGTCTCAAGCATTGCTTGACTTTCACTCCCAACGCCCCTCTCCCCTGGCCAAAAAGTTTTGCTGCATATCTGAAAATTTGGAAAATTATTAGATGTTCCAGAAAAGACCTTTTGATTGACCAGTACTGTGGGAAAATTTTGGTGATTATATCGAATGGACATAGGAAGAGTCTCGGGTTTCTCTTTCCAGGTGTGGTTTTGTTTTTGGACATACCTAGATATGAATGTGAAAAGTTTGGAGTGAGGCGTGGAAGAAGAAGAAGAAGAAGAAGAAGAGGGGCATGTGAATGTGAGTATTCAACAACCAGCAACTCACAAATCAATTAACACTCGCATCGATATCTCCAGATCACTACCCCTTCAATTCTGACATTGGAAGTTGTAGATCGTTACTTCGCTGCCAGGGTTCTGTTCTACTCCCCCGTTTTAAGGTGTGTAGCATACCTTATCATACAAGATGGCGTTGAATTTGCCGCCGTATTGGTCCGGCACGACCGTTCAATCTCAAAATTGAAAACTGGGAATATATTCACTTTTATTACGGTAAACTGATGTATTGACTATGTGTAGCAAGCGATCAGGTGATCTTGGCCGGTATAGCGGGAGCCTGGAAATATCACAATAAAAATCATCATATCTTCCACGTCAACAATTGAAAAATCTTTTTCAGAGATCGAACTTGTTCAAGTCGTTCAACTTTCAAAGTCGGCAAAATCTTCAAGTTCAAAATAACTGCTCCTCAATTTCTGAAGCGCGCAACTTCAAGGAAACACAACTGGACTTCAAGGTCTTGTACCTGATTCTAAATCATTCACAACCATTCAGAGGATAGAGAAATTGAATACAAACAGAAGCCTTCCATCTGCCGTTATGGACACAGAGAATACGAAGATAAGTGGCACTTCTTCTGTGCCTTTGCACGAAAATGCTTATCGAAGTTTTGGCTTTCCGCCATCGCTACCATCACCATCTTCATCTATCTCAGAGTTTGCCATGGATCCTAATATGAATCCTCCTTTAGATATAACTTCATTTACCCCAGTTGCATTTGGATCCTCAGAATTACTTACAAATTCGCTAATCTGCAAAAGGACGAAGAAGGAAAGGAACAGTGTCAAGCCTCATCCTAAGTCCATCATGCATCTCTTAACCTTGACAACAATACCTCAACACACGGGAGTTTCTGCGACCAACCAGAGTAGTCTTGCAGGACTTCCAGAATCAGCATCTCAATCCAACTCTGCAGCTCCAATTCTAGGAGTTGCATCGCGGAAAAGTATTCCTGAGAATAAATACTCGAACGGAATGGTGGCATCTGAATATAATAAGTTGAGTGCGATTGTTGACAGACATCATGCAGGTCTTCCAATATTACAGCCCTCTTCGTCTCTGCCCTCGCCAATTACGAGCGGTGGTTCAAGTATGAACACGATTAGTTGCAAGGATCAATATGTCGGCCCATTGACGATATCTGGTCACCCGGGTTTATTTGCGACCTTGCGCAAGACATTTACAGAGGATACAGAATCGTCTTCCCTTCCGCCGAATGAACAATCTAGCTTGATTTTTGATACAGATGGCACTACATACAAACCACTCGAATCATCAAAGGCATGGAAAGTGACGAGAGTTTGTGAACTGTTGCTCAGAGCTGTTGCAAACATCGAACCTGATAATGTCGAAGGCCATGTCGAAATTCTGGATTTCTATTTACAAGAGTACCCTTTGCAACGCTTGGTAATTTTAAAGGCTCTTGAAAATGCTGGGAACTATTTTCGCAAATTTTCCAAAGCTGTATGATAACTTTCGTCGTTAATTCATAGAACTGTGTCATTGCTAACATATGTGCTCTTCCTCTAGATGTCTGCCCATTCAAGTAAACCATACAGAGAGCAGTGTATGCTAAGTGATAATTTCAAAAAAGAGAACCCGATACCTTCAGTTGTAAGTCAAATCGCACAACTCTTGTGATTCTTTGCTAATACTTAACTCTTCCTCAGATACGTCCTCTGCTACCCTTCGCATCTATAGCAGCCCGCTACGTCAGAAATACTAAGTCTACTCATCGAGGAGGAAAATCATCACTGCACACCTATCAATACCATTTCCATAACGAATATAGATGCGATATCAAGCATGAAAATGAAAGTTTCCCGTTGGGTTTCAATCCAATCTTGATGCACGCTCTCGGAAAATGTAGCAGACATCGTCTTCGAAACGAGAAGCAAAAGAGACATAAGATATACATGAAACAGGTCAAGAAGGGATTGTCGCATGTGCATAGGAATCCGTTCTTGTCCGAGGAAATCATCAAGGAATGTGGGGGAGAAAGTTATGCAGAGCTGGAAGGCAGATTCGAGATGGATGACATGAGAAATGCTGCATATTGGGAGATGACTACTCGACAAATTGAGGAGAAGCCTACTCGAAAAGATAGATATTCTGTTTTCAGGGAACGTCCGTCGCTGTTAAGGGAGGAACTGCCAAAATTAGACGATCATTGGATTCCTGACTCTCTGATGCCATATATGAAGATATCTGGACAAATTAGGTTAATCAAGTTCGAATCAGAAATCGTGCGAGCCAGCAAGCGCAAGCAGGATACTGATAAGGATGCAGAGGAAGAGGAAAGAGAAGTTTATGAATCTCGATGCAAAGCTAGAAAGCCCGATTCTAAGAAAGTGGAAGCTCGGGTGGCTCAATGGGAGAGGAAATATAATGCAGCGAAAAAGCAGACCCTGAAGGAATATGAAGGAAAGATGAAAGAAGAAGATGAAGAAATGCGGAAAATAACTGAAGAAAAGGAAGCTGAAGAGGAACGGGAACGATTACGGGAGGCGCAAGAGAAGAGAATCAGGGAGAAGGCCATCCAGAGAAAGGAAAAGGATGAGCGATTGTATATGGAACGAGAGCGTTCAAAGGTCCGTGCAAAGGAGGGACGGGAGAGGTGGAAAGAAAAGAGAGATAATTTGAGATGGGAAAATAGGGAGAGGTCTGATTGTCGTGTTACACAAGCATGGATAGATCTAGGTGCTGATCTGGCTCGTGTTGGAAGTTGGGATTGAGGTGAGAGTGAGGGAGAAGGAATGTGTCGTATGAGAAAATCCTATTGGGCTGGATGCATATGTACCGCGTTTGAAACTGAAAATTTGAGGCACAAGAGGCTATACGATCGTTTGAAATGATGGAACTGCTTTTTTCCTCATACCACTTCTGTGAGGTTTGAATGTTGGAAGAAAGACTAGTCGAAGGCACAAGAAGAGCGTCTGAGGCGGACAATGATACATACCTAGATTTCTACGCTAGCAAAATTCAAGAATAGCTTACTTCTATCATACCAAATGATATTTACCAACAAATTAAAATGACTGTGGTATAGATGCTTACAATCAAGAGTCTTGGGCAACAAGCGAGAAGATAAATGGTGACCTCTTTCTCATAAATCTTTGTTCCTTACAATGTGTTCTATCTTCGTCAACCATTATCAAGCTTTCTTATCTACGAATTCGGCGTCCATTGAAGCTTACCATTCATGCAAATTTAGAGATGGAAATTCGGCGAGTAAGATGGAGGAGGTTGTTGCAAGACTTTTGGAGGAGTCGACGGGGTACTGGGTGGGTTTCATGTGGGATATTGGGGATGATGATGACGATGATGATGATGATGATGATGAGCTGTTTGGAGATTGATTGGGCTTTGGAGGTTGTGATGACTAGGATATATGAGGGTGAAAGTGGATGTGAGAATGGGACTAATGCTGATGCCCTTGAGGGTTATGCTAACGGGAAAATTTTGATGGTGGATAGTGAGTATGCATTCAAGAGGGATGCATGCGGTAAAGGAAGTGGGGTCGATACTTACAATGGTTTTTCCGATCTATAATAAAGTTCCATTTGTGATTAGATTCTTATGTGTGATCAAGAACTTGGAGTAATAGTCTTCATACAGATCAATGCTCCTTGACGTCAAAAAGATTGGTAGAAAGAAGCGAATCTGCTTTGCTATCTTGCCCTTTCCTCCATCAAGCTTTACAGAAGATTGGTAGCTACAATATCATCGCGCTGACATCTGAGATTGATCTGCTAGCTCGTTTGAGACAGATGTAGATAAAATGGTCATCTGATGATCAACTGGATTGAATTTGTGTGAATTTGTGAGTCTGATAGGTCAGTCAGGCAGGCTCTTGACCGAGAAGTTTTGTTGCATATCTCATCTTCAGCTTTCAGATAGCTCTTGAACAGATCCCCAATGTCTTCTTACTTATCTCTTGTCAGAGCGTCCTTGAGGTTTCGTATATTGGAAAAGTCCCATGATAATGCCAATGGTCAGTGAATCCCATGTGTTACCAAAGTATTGTCCAAAGCGTGAAAATAAGACATGCAACAGACCTTTTCTCATACTCAAATCACGTGTATGAGATACTTATTAGTAGATTAGATTAGACCTCTTGAGCCTCTAGAGTGGTCTCATCTAGGATATATCATGGTACAATAGTAAATAAAGTCTTGCTGGATAGATTTGAAAATTTAAAGCAAGGCATAAGAGAATGAAGACTGGTATGGTTACGACTATAGAAATACAATAGATGTTTCTGGGTACGATGGAGCGTATGGATGGAGATGACCAAATGGTATTATCATAGCAGTACGGTAGCACAATCCAAGATTTCCATCATGTCTCACCCCACCCATGGGGCTCCTCTACTTTGGAGTACCTATGCGAACGAGAACCCGTCCCAAAACGTTTACTAGCAGAGATGAGATGGAAATGTTTCAGACAACAATCGAAGTTGAAACAATGCCAAATCCTGGGGGATGGGCTCGGTTGGGAATCCGGAAGATGTGATATTACACGTCCCATCCGACATACATTAAATAGAACCACTTTCTCACACCTAGAAACGCAGAAAGATCCAGTTTGATAATGTGGCGTTTAGACAGAAGATCCTAGTGGTTGAAACCTACCAATGAGAGATGTCGACCCGGGAAGCCACAGCGTGGTGTTCAAGTACTGGCTGACGAGTTGTGAGGCTGGTGATACTTGGTCCATTCAAAAGCGCCAATCAACTAGGCTATGCATAAGCGACGTTTCAACAACTTCTGCAAGGCACAAACCAAACTGTACTGTACTGTACTGTACTGTACACTGCACAGTCAAGCAAGATCCATATTTGTGTTGTGAAAACATGTCCTAAGAATGTCTAACATTGTTGTTTGTTGGATGGAAAGATCATCTTTTGCACAACGCAATCATGATACGTGCCATCTAAAGTGAGGTTAGCAAGGAATTAGATTCGGGGCGGAATGGGCCTTCCCGTTTTGCTGTCAATCACGTGGAGCTATTGTGGCTAATTGCTCATAGCGCCAAGCGCCCCAAAAAAAACTCATGACCCCTCGTAACCCAGCCTCCTCAAAAATGGATATTATGGCTCTTCATATGCAAGAAGTGAATCATTGGGTCATCATGTTGGACTCGAGGTTCACTGCCACGTCTTTGCTCAGAAAATCCAGAGAACAATAACTGTCTTACAGTCGTTCGTTATATTGCTAACAGTTCCTTCTCTTAAATTGTCATTTTTTTAACAGGACTCGATCATATTCAATACTCACCAACAATGTATCATCATACTCCCGAATCATTATTACCTCGGACAGACTCGAAAAACCCCAATTCAACGTGTCGAGGTCTATCATCAAATGGAAAACCATGCCGGAGAGGTCTGACCAAATCACCACGGAATTCACCGAGTCCGAGTCCGAGTCCTTCGAGAGGAGCGCTGAGTCCAGATGCATTTTGTTGGCAACATAAAGATCAAGCTGGACAAACTGCCGTACCTACTCAACCTCGACCAAATCCCCTGCGTGAGAGATCGAGTGTAGACACACTGGTGGAGAGATTAGGTCTCCTTGAGGTCGATCAAAAGAAAACTAAGGGAAAACAGCGCCAGACTTCAGAAGATAATCGTGGCAGACGACCTGGGACGAGCAATGCTTCGAGGAATGAGCAGCAACGCCTCGAAGCTCAACAGCAACAACAGGAACAACAATGGCAGCAGGCACAAGCACATCATGAAGTTCCACATTCTACAAATGATGGCCAGGGACGACGCAAAAGAAGCACTCTAGAATTATTATGTTGCGGCGCAGAGGACGAGGAAATTCCACCACGACCACAACAAAAACCACACGAAGGACGTTCTTCCTCTCATGTTCCAAGTTCTCGCATCTCAGATCATCTTGAAGTCCCATCTCATACAACTCGTCCAGCTTCAAGACCTTCTTCGAGACCGCATACATCATCATCGAGACCTTCAACTTCCAAGCCACCTGAAATGCTGCAGCGTCCTACTATGGAACGAGATCCATCCTCGAGAACGGGGGAGTTTCTAGCTCATATTCCTTCATCAGCAAGCCCTCAAACAACTGCTGCATTATTAGCAGAATTAGCCAAACCCATCTCTGATGCTGATCTTCCTGGATTTATTTATATGTTCTGGTTGACCGATGAAGGGTTACCTACGGGACCGTCCGATGAAGCAGCTGGATCTCTTCTAACACCAACAACCAGAGCTGGACCTGGCCAACGACGAACTTCTGATGTTCTTGAATCCTTTACTTCTGCTCCGCCGAACAAGAAGGAAAAAACAATGCTTCTCAAAATTGGAAGAGCCGAAAATGTTTTCGCTAGGATGCAACAGTGGAAGAAGCAATGCGGTTATAATCTTTCATTGATTCGATACTATCCTTATCATGATTCGTCTAAATCACCATCGAGAAAAGTTAGCGAAAATGATGGGCCTCAAAAGGTGCCAAATGTGCACAAGGTCGAAAGATTGATTCATATCGAATTAATGGCTAGAAGAGTAAATTGCGGAAAATGCAAAGCATGCGGGAAAGAACATAGAGAATGGTTTGAGATTGATGCCAATAGGGATGGGGTCACGATGGTAGATGAGGTTATTAAACGATGGGTAGACTGGGCGGAGAAGGACGAGGCGTCTAGATATTAGATATAGAGGTTAATATACCTAGGTAATGCGGTGTTATCATAATTAATCATGGTCTATTATATATATCTTTCACTGTACTAATAGAATGCTCATTCAATGCTTTCAATATATGCGCCCGTTGCGTCTTCGTTGTATCCAGTCGGGTTACTTACAGTTCCACATTGAAGATGAGTAGGCTGGGTGGAGATGGCTAGTGCCAGTTCCTGCCTTGCTCTTAATACATTCGTCAGTACATTCAATTCTTGTCGTTGCTCAGTATCAGCCCTATGTTTCATTATTCCGTTACACATGTGGAGTTCGGAATGGTGTATGAGGAAATAGTCCCCTGTGTCAACCTTCGCGTAATTTAGTGCCAGTGTGTCTTTGTTCCGGAGCAAAAAAAGAAAAGAAACAGACGCTCGTTTTGGGAGTATCTAAACTCCAAGAATCTTTCTAGACCCGAAGATATCTAAACATGAATTATTTATGAGTGGTCACTCGTCGCAAACACTCTTGGTGGTTGGATGAAATGTGAATCAGTGGGTTATCGAAGATGGCTATTTCTTGTTTGCCATGCATTCGGTTCGTTTTGCGCATTTGAAAGCGCTGATTCGATAATTTTCTTTCTTCGAATATATCTGTTTGTGCAAGAGCAGACGTGGAGATTCACAATCATTGTTTGTTGTGAGGCAAAAGATTGTGAAATGATCTATCCTGAGAAGTTTGTATGAATCCTCGAAAGTTTGAACATTTTTCAATCATTCAGTTATTATACCTCCATTCACGATCATTTAATTTCATTTGCAACATTCTCTCTTGACTGCATTTTGAACTACAAGTGAGATATAAAAGGACACCCTTTCTCTTCTACCACTCTGTCAACAGATCCAAAAATTACAAACATTACAGAATCCTATTTCAATTAGATTTCGAAATAAGATCAAGACTGTTCAGCAACATCACATCTCTCTACAAAAATGCCCTACTACTACCCCTACCCATATCCCATCCCGCACTACGTCCCCGTCTTACCCATCTACCCAACCACAACAGTAACCGCAGTCTCTGCCCCAATAATTCAACAAACGCCAGGCTTCAATCCACTTCATGGACAAGATCCCGGTCCCGCACCTCCCGGCATAGGAAATCGCGTCGCGGGTTATGTTACTGGTATGTATTGTACATCGGTGAGTTGACCCCGCAAAATGCGCGAATGAACTAACTTGTTTGGGGGTAGGTTTGGCGACAATAGGTCCTCCGATAGTGGGAGTTGCACCAATAGCGGTCTCTCAACCGCATCCTTCGGATGCATGTACAAAATGTCGGAATCGAAATGCGAATGCTACAGCAAATGCGCCTGCGAGTTCTTCATCTCCAACTCCAACTCCAGAACCAAAACCTCCCACCACCACTCCAAAATCCATTCTCAACCCAACACCAACTCCCACTCCCAATCCAGGACATTCATCATCTTCACCCCCTTCATCTCCCACAAAAGGCAAATCCAAATCCAAATCTAAATCCAAACTCGAACCTCCGCTCAATATCCTCACTCATGCAAATACAAATAAAAATGCAAACCTGAATCCGAATTCGGGATCCTGACAATCATTGAAGAAGGATTGTCTTCTTTTTGGGAAGCGGTCTAATGATAGTCTGTCAAAGCCGTTGGGAAAGAGGGTTAAATTTTGCGGGGGAGGTGGGTGATGGTTAGAGGGGAGAGATTGTATTTCTTTTATTCTGTATTAGAAAGCGAGTCTTTGGTCGTTCGAGAGTATAATGATCATAGGGGAGCACAGTAAGTGTTCGGAGTTTGTATTGAGATTTTGCGTAGAGGGCATATATAGCTCGATGACATGTATATATCTCTAAATAATTCCTCAATGAATTTTCTTAACGATATGTGAAATTGGGGAAAAAGATCTATGATAACCTTCTCTCTGTTTACGCAGAGACGTAAGTTTTTCTTTGGCTATCTCCTCTGTGGTCACTGTCTAGTAGAGTCAATCGTTAATTTCATACCATGATAAAATACATGAAACGAGATCCATGGAAATGAGTGGAGACGACTTGAAGAGGGAAGATTACCACAACAGATGCAAAAGCGGTGCAATCGCAGCGAGTTTAAGTCAAATTGTCGTAGAAAAACCAAGAACAATACGTCTTGCTTCGGAACGGAGACGGAGACGGTGACACGATAGGCTGGCTTGAAAGATTTGCTACAAATTGGGAATTAAGTTTTGAGGTTCAACATGGACATGTTCTCGCTTCGTCCATACCAGATACAGTGATCCAAAATCCTGGCCCAGGTTTTTCCCTCTGCCCAGAGTCGTCTGAATATAAACCAAAAATCAGGGATGATTCGGAATGGAAGGATCTATATAATATCCAACATCTTGATGTTTATTCTATATGGAAACTTCAAATGAATTTAACGGTTGTATGGACAGATGATAACTGTATTAGTAAACGGGTCGGGCTGGCAAAAGCGTATTTGAAGACTTGGGCCAAATTTAAGCCACAGTTTTATACCTATCCATATTCTAGAATAGGTAGATATTGGAAATGTTACAGTCAATAGCATGTGTTTTGCAATGATAACCCCTGTGATTTAATCTCTCTTAGTTCCATGTTCCGGACCAACTAATCGGCATTTAGCAGCATCATCCCAATTCCCATGCCCTTTATTGCACGACAGCAGGATCACCTAACAGCCACAAATTACCTACCAAACTTTATCTTGGAATCCAGCCTCCTTCAACTGCTTTCAACAATGGACTCTCCATAGCTCCTACTATCATCCTCACAACATCTGCACTCAATTCCGTCTTATACCCATCTCCTTGTAACATTCCCACCCCAATACAAACAATGTTCATTCCCATTCCTCCAGTTCTAGTCACCTCATCCACCGCTTCCTTCCTAATATCATCATTCGCGATTCCACTCGATTCCTCTCCATCAACAAGCTCCTTATCAGTCAAAAATTTCAATATAGCGCTCATAGTCGTCCCAGAACTAATCACATCATTTATCAACGCAATTCTATTCCCTTTAACCAACGACAAAAGATTAGGATCGAGATAGACCGGTGGTCCTTGGCCTGGTTTGTCGAAGAGACATGATATCTTGGTGGTGAGTTGGTCTCCGTACCAGGGTTTCTTGGTGTAACCCCATGGGATGTGACGATCTAATGGATAACACTAGTCAGCATATCTTTATCTTTTTCGACTGCACATGGAGAATTCATCCCCCCTTGGACTCTGCCGGAGACCGGGAAACACAGAGCTGAACCAAACATTCTCACTACTCTCCAAGTAAAGGTAATGAAATAAAGCGGCTTGCAGACAACATCTAGCATTAGCAAGAGAATCAACCTACCAAATCCCAATTCTTCCGCTACAAAAGGCGCCAAAACCAACCCACCAGTCGGCAATCCCATCACAACTTCCAGGTTGAACTTCCTGATCTTACTCGCCACAATCCTAGCCAGTTCCCTCACAACCGTTACCGAAGCATGCGGTAATGCCAATGAACAAACAGCAATGCCATTCGTGGTATCGCCTAGTGGTCTAATAGGAAGAAGCAGGCTTGTATCGGGAGTGAGAGATGCGGCGAAGGAGAATTGATAGGGAGGGGCTGTTGAATATGGGAGGGAGGCGACGGATTATGTAGGAATTATTTCTTGCCAGTAGGTAGTCGTAGGGCGGGTGAAATGGGTATGGGTTAAGGGACCGATAGTCTCGTAGGGGTAGTAGGGTATGTGATGGCTGGTTGGTTCCGTGGATTGGTTGGTAGTTATGGATAATGGTGCGGAGGTTGTGTTTTTGCAACTTTGTTTATCCTGTTCGTCTGGCTGTGGAGGCTCAACGAAAGCGGCGTCAGTGGAAAGCAGTGATTGAACGGACATTGCCAAATACGTCTGTAAAGTGCTCTAAACTCTGGGAGCTTTCAATCAGGATGGAATTTATCAGTGGAATATTTGTCATATAAATATGAATGAAGTAGGCTTTCAAATAGATAATTCACCCTTTGATAAAATTGTTACACTTGCTAACACGTGTTCGGAGATTACCTCGCGGAGCATGTAACACAAACTTAGTGAATTAGCCACGCAGGTCGTGATTGTGGTGTAATACTAGAGCGATATAACGAAGTACAGCGCATCAAGTGTTGTAGATTTATGTATTACATGCTTGTTGCAACCCGCAGTGAGCCAGGAGACGTTTCTCATCATCTTGCCACAATGAGTCATTAGGGCTCTTCATAACAGATTTCATCGAAACTGATTACTCAATGTAAGACATGAATAAAGGAGACATATATGGAGTATGTAATATCTATTGAAAACATTGATATCAGAAAGAAGAGCGGGATGGTTTGAAGATTGTGGCACAAGAAATGAGAATTTATTTAGCAGATTGGCACCTCCCAACAAACACGTCAACTTTGCAAAATAGTGAGAGGAACAGAGACTATTGCTGAAACTAGCTCGAAAGTTTTTTATTACCAGTTTGTGTGTATAGTTGCACACATTTGCCCTCCAACGTCATCATCAATCTATTGTATATCAAACCGAGATTCGGGACAAGCAGCGCTCATGCTCAGAAGCCTTAGACTGGCCTTATTCAGGGGCAAGACCATTGCCCTGATCCTCCCGTTCGATGTCCAAAGACCCATTCGGAGCCACGCTTTCAATATCGGTTCTACAATCAGAAGACTGTTCATGGCCATTGTCGGGAGTAACATCTTTTAACTCTCCCGCATTCCGACTAAGTGATAAGACCTCGGAACTCCATTCATATCCTTCGACGACTAGCTCTCGTTCTGATTGCCAGTCCATTTCTTCGTTACTTCCAACATTATGTAAGTCGACCTGGTTGTCCCCACCCTTACACTCGTTTTCTGGCAACCATTCCTCTATCCTATCTATATGCGACTTCAAAGATGTCAGAAGGTACTCTTTAAGGTGTTTGGATTTTGCAAGGAAATGGTGATTGGGTCGATTGAATATGGAATACTGGTTGCATCGACGGAGTGAGAGGTTGTTCCGGTGTTCTGGTTTTTGATACCAGTAGCGACTATCCTGAATACGGTGATGACCTAAGTGGGGATCATGCTGAGTTCGAGCTGATGCGTATTGTACATACGAGCCGTTTCGGTTACCACGACTGTGATGTTCTTCGTCATATTGCCATTCGTTACGTCTGTTTCTTCTATCACCACCGCGCATGTTTACATCGTGATGGCTTTCTGATGGAGAGGATATGGTGTGAAATGAGATGAAAAAAAGGCTAAATTCGAACATTAAGAGAAATTTGTATCTTTGACAGATATCCGACGAAAGTTCTGGTAAGACCACTAGACTCTCCACTCATTAACAGTTTGATATGTTTCGAATGAGCATTGTTCTATGACAAAGTTACCTGGAACAATTATTTCAATGATGCCATAGAACATGAAAGTTGTTTTAGGAATTTCAAAAGAAACTGGCAGAAAATTCTTTACGTTTGGGGCCGGGGTGTCCGATAATCGCACAGTGCCATCCAATAGCAAGAGAACTGCAATCTTCTGATAACTTCATTTGACAAGAATGATCGGTCCTAAAAGAGTGATGGCTTTGTAGACTTTGGGAACTTGTATCAGGTCCGATGGTCCGGATATTCGAATCTGACTGCAACACGCTCTCGATTTATCAACACCAATCAGTTCCCAAATCTTCTCCAGGTAGCCTCCCACATCAATTCTGAGATCGATTGGCGAAAATATCGGGGGTGTGTAGAAAGTTGTATAGTAAGACTTCATGATTGGGGCAATGCTTGTCACCATGAATGAGCTTCCGATTTCATATCATAGTTTCATGCCAGTCCCAATCTTTCACCAATTGTTTGACACGATAATCAGTCGCCCAGCCAAGGTCAATTTCAATGTCCTTCAGCAAATCAAGTATTACTTTTCGCTCTTTTGTTTCCGTCAAGCATTGGCCTGCGATAAATAGAGGCTGCACTTGGTGTATCCTCACAGAACCTTCCGGCCTTCCCAGAGCGATGCCGCAGATCTCGTAACTATGATGGCGAACCTCCATCTCAATAGACCGATATGAATGCAGCCTATTTGAAACGGTTGTTCTTTTTGTAGTTGATTCGTGGGGTTTATTGGTAAGAAGGAGGATCCTCGTAAAATGATATGACTGCATTGTTGAGCCACACATTGGAATACTATACCATATCTCTGGGAAAACAGTTCTTGGTGAGTCTTGTGGTATACTGCCATCTATAATTGTTGATAAACGAGCACAAGGTTTGAAGGTATCTGGTAAACCTCGATACCAAACTTCAAGCTCGTTTGCCAGCTCGTGCCATCTTTCGAGTAAAGTCATTTGATTGATACCAAAAACAGCAGTAGGACTACCTCTATCCTGAGGGTAGACATTATCGATAGAATCACCGGTAGCAATGAAATTAACAATTTTCGACATGAGCCAAATCAGGGCATTTGAAATCATATCTTCCCGCATAGACATCTGCAACTCCGGATATAAACTTTCCTTGTTGCTTGGGATAACAAATCCTTGATCATCGATCAGGAGTCCAGCTGCACGCCAGAGATCCCAATCTTCTGTATCAAGTCGCGTTTGCCCTTCATTAATGACTGGTTCAAAGTTAGACTTGTCAAAGATGTGAGATTTCAAATACTAACAAGCTGCCAGAAAGTCCTGACGGGCGAAGTTCCAGAATGTAGCCCTCCTGGCAACTGATGGCTTAGTCCTAAATGATAAAGATCCTGGAGTGCTAGGTGAAGGTGAATGGAGAGGCATCATGCCTTCCCTTTCCGCTAGGTCGAACAAGGACTTAGTCCCACTAAGATGTCGAGACCAAGCATGTAAAGCATTGTCGAGAAATTCATAAACGCAGAGTATAGCGGCGGCTGCGATTGTCTCATCGGCGTCACGGTGTATCGGTTTCGATACTCGCCGTCGCTTATTTGATTGGGAAGGAGTACTCTGTGGTGATTCAATGTTGACTGGGGAATTAAAATGGCCATCGTTCGTGGGTGTTATAGGAAAATCTTTTCCACCCGACTTCGAGAGCTCTTCTACCAAGAGTGAAATTGCTCGGTCGTAATATTTTGCACTAATGTAAACCCAGTCGACCTTATCCGAATTTGGGTAGAGCTCCATAAGTGCTTGCTCACTGACTATGCCACCAACAATGGCCTTTCTTCCCCCAACACGCGAAAGTTGCTTGGCAGCATATGCGCATACTGAGTATTTGAGCAAAGGATTCGACACGGCGAGAATGGGGACATGGTGTGCGAAGTAACACCCAAGGTCGAATAAATCCATCCTAACATGATCAATAATGCTTTCGATCTTGATATAATCTCAACTCACCATTGTCCGGTAGTCTCTCCAAAATGTCTCAATAGAAATGCAACTTCATGCTCTCTCACACTATCAGCATCACTGATGAAAGTGTTCGTCCTAGAGAGTGATCTTAATGAAGGATCAATAAGGGGCGAGTCTATCGCAGTAATATTAGCCGAAGATCCAATGAATAAGAAAATGATTATTTCCATACTTTGACGGGCTTTGGGTCTTGTAGGGTTCAATATAAAGTCCAGGTTATTGGCGGAGTGCTGGGGAGTGATGAGACTTCTTGGTGATTCTGTATGCACCGATAATTGAGGCATATATTCCATATTCGTAGTTGCCGCAGTGGAAAGAGCTTCCAACCCAGATGCGTCTCCAAACTGGGGGTAAGTTAAAACATCATTAACAGTCTCGTCTGTAGTAGTTGCGGTGGGAAGGATAGATTCTGTGGATTGTTCAGGTTCAGGTTCAGGAGTCGCTTCCATGTTGTATGGATCGATGACATTAAAGAAGGTTACTGTCAATTGCCAAGTCAGATCCCAAGTCCTTCATCTCACAATTATCTCCACTCCAGTAGATTATAACGCACTTTTCTTTGGCACATCGACCCAAATACTGTTCTCATCAAATGTATTCCTATACGCAAAGAATGCGCCTAATCGGCCACTTCTGTCACCAGGAATAACATCTTCACCGCCGTTCATGGAAGCATTTTGCTGATGTCTGAATACTACTCCGTCGCTAAGTATACATTGTCTAGAAGCTTTGCGACATTGTCCACATTCTGGCTTAATTTCGTCGCATTTGAGCTTTCGTTGGCGGCATGTTTGACTAGTAGCACGAAGGCGCAGATTAGCAAATTAGCCCTTGAAATGAATTCTTTGGTAAACCATGAGAGAAGATAATTACCATCCTGTACGCGACCGCATTGCTGCGGAAACAGCATTATTTCCACCCACTATTCGGGGTAAATGATACGATTATGATCAGGTAACAAATCCTCATATTGTATGAACGCTTTGAATGTTTTTGTTTGTGTAGTAATACGAAGCATTTTACTTCACGATGATTCCCCGCAGTAGTGCCAGACAAGGTTGATCTAGACTTTTCGGGGTGTCGGAAGGCCTGAGGCGGAGGTCCGAACAGCGGGGGGTATTTTTAGATTCACGTGGTATCAACATCTAAAATCACAACCTCGCATAGGTTTTTGGATTGAGCAGTGTACATTGATTCCTCAACAAAGTATACCAATAGACGTCGACGAGGAACTCTGATTCTCGACCGTGTTGACAAGAGAGATAGGCTTGTAATGGCTAGGTTCATACCGTGAAAACCATGGCAATGTTCTCGGGGTGTTACAGATAGCTGTAGGTAGGTAAAGTTACTCTAGCCGTGCTATTAGGTCTTCAATTCATACATAGTTTGACTCCCTTTCTGGTTTTGGACTTCGTGTCATATTATTTGCAATACAGCTCAATAAAGTCACGCTTTCCCTAGAAACTCAGACTGTGATTGCATCAACCAACAACGGCAGCAAGCATATAATATCTGCTAGAGCAGGCAATACTATGAATATGTCTAAGTCTCTCAAGAAGAGTCCTCCATCTCTTTTAGATTTTGCTCAGCAGTGGCCAGTCATGGAAAGTATTTGCTCCGGACTGAGCTTTCGAGATATTGTCAGCCTATCCAGAACTTCCAAACAGTTTTCAACCTTGCCAGAAACGATGTCGAGGACTCAGTTAAATATCAGTTCTATTCTCAAACCCTTTGTCAAGGACCCCGAAGCGCTCAGATTGAAAATGGCACAAACCAATACGAATATCGTTGGTAATACTGCTCTTGATTTTTTGACAGGTCCATACGATTAAAAGAAGGAATGTGCGTTGTTGTGGGGGAAGAGGATGGAAAGGCTTTCAAAAGGTTTATTTGTGAAGAGGAAGGTTACAAGCACCTTGAAGACGCATCACCCCACATACCGGACACAAGTTTGCCATTGGAGTGGCCTGCAGTGATTGGAGATGATCTAGATCCTCCAGCCCCAATAATTATATGAACCTAGTTATATAGATGAAGTAAGGAGCCCATCAGCTTATGGATATTTGCCATCACGTACTAACAGACTTTCGCTATACACCTGGTATTATATTAGACGCGATGATGAATCCTCATCTAGCTACACGCTCATTCGTGTTGCTCATACATTGGTACCACCTATTTTAGCAGCTCTACGGTGCTTTCCGGATACCTCGTCGGTAAACTTTATTACATAGAACAAAGCATAATTACTGTTTCCTAACTCTATGCTTAGGCACGGAGCATTATGGTTGTATGGACCTCATCCTGGTTTCAATCAGATGATGCCTAAATACGTTAAAACTGGATGGAAGTTACTTATGCCTTCACCTCTCGAATATAGCCGAACATCCTCAGAAACAAAGAAAGCGAATGAAACGTGACTCTACCGACGTTTCATACCAGATACCTTCCGATGGATTGGCGACAAGCACACTTGGACGATAGAGAATCCAGAACTACCACCTAGTCTTCTCCTAGATACAACTAGAACTACAGAACTAAACTTTTTCACCATCACTACAAACTTTTGTCAATCCTATTATGATTTCGATGGCCCTGCATTTTATTTTATTGAGAGTGCATCTTACTACACAACAAGTTTGAAGCATTGCTATGGAAACACACATCGAAACAACTTCGCCATGGAAAAGCCAAGTTTCTGGTCATACGTCAACAATCAGCTATTCTCATGCTCACAGAAGCAAGCGCTCGACAAGCTTTCTCTTGACCAGACTTTTACTTTGCCAAAGAACAGACCATACTTGCGTACATTTCTTGATGGAGATTACGCAAGTGGGATTGTAAGTCGCCCCGAGTCTTGGGAGTTCTTAAATTTGAATGGTACGATAGCAAGCTTGTTTGAACAATGGAAGAAGGTTGTGAACTTGACCCGGGATGACGAGGAAGTAAGTAGTTTACAGAAAGTATCGGGAGAAAGGCAGAAAGCCTAATGCACCACGGTGCTTTGTAACAGAAGTACAGGTTACCAGGACTTCGAAAAATGATTAGCTAGTACCAATATACTAAACTATCAGCGTCTTGTTATTGCTGTCCAGAAAAAATTTCGGGTTGTTGATCGAAACGAATTTAGACCATGTTTAATTGAGAATCGTATCTAGTAGCTGCTCGATACATTACCAGTATTTTTCTTTGTCGCCCAGCCTCAGAGATATCATCTTAGAGTTGAACAAGTCATATTAATACTCTAAAATAGCGGACAATGAAACCCGAATCACTAAAATCCTGCTCGGTCCACACGAACCAGAAACTATTTGAGTATCTACTGCCATTTGATCAATCCTACTTGCAACCTACCCCTTTCAAATCGCTACGATATATACCACAAGACATTTGCGAAAGTTCGGCGAAGAGACAACCACATGAAATAATACCAAACATCACAACAAAGATGATACTGCCGAGCAATCACGTCAAGTACGAAAAATCCGAACTTTCTATGTACATGCATTCCATATTGAAGTATACCGATCTGAGCGAAACAGACCAGCACAGCGAATGCCCATTCTAAAGCATCACTCGGGCCTGCAACGATGATTGTTACATTCTTTCAAGATACAATCAGACCAAAGACAACCTAACAAGTATCCCCCCTCCCCGAGAGAAAAGCAGTCATCGCATTCCCTGAGCTCCTTCCTCTGCTTTGACCGTATCCAGATTCTCAAGTCAGGAACCGCCCATTCAATCACGGCTAAGTGTAGTTTCGAACTTTTGATGCCTTTGGTCCCATTTAGATCAGAAAGACCCGCGACTTTAAGATTGCCTTCTGTCTGTAATGTTTCCCCTTTCCTCTTCATTAGACTTCCGGTTAGCAGAACTTACAAGCATAGCACATCGGATCACTTTATCACCGCCGCTGGCCTGGGTGCTACTTTGCTCATCAACTAGTGTGATTTACAAAAAACCAATTGTCATTCTCAACAATCATCACTCACTTATCTCAACATATCAACAACATATCAGAAAAATGAATCAAACTGGATATCATATCGTATATCTAAACAGACACGCTAACCGCCCTATTCTACCATGAACCACATCACATCATCACACAAGAGCCCCTATACCGTACATAAAACATTGGATATACATTCAACAATTCAACAATTCGCACCCCCTTCGATTCCCTTTGCTTTCCCCAACTCAAACAACATAAAAACCAAAACATCGATCAATTCTCCTCCATTCACCAAACCCCAAACACCAGCATCAAACCATATGACTTAATTTCCATTCCTTGTCGTTCCTTCCCTTAGTCCTTTAGTTGCCATTTCCCATTCCATAAAACTCACTTTCATGTTCGCCAATATAGCTAGCTCATCATATAACACATACACTACGCATCTCAATTCCAAGCTTCTGCCCCATTCCTTCAATATCGAGAGAGCCAGTCAAGCTAAACGAATTATGCAGTGTGTTTTTGCCTCCGATTTTGTAGGTGTTTCCATATCTGCGAACAGATCTACATGAGATTGATAGCCAATGCGGCTCCACTTCTCGACACGATAATCCTGCAACCAAAGTGGCATAGCAAATACCGTAAGCTCCGTTTATGACATTAAGGCCGTGGCGAAGTGTGCATGAAATCGATTTCGATATTGAATCTGATGATCGGACCAAGAAATCGTTTGCATTTCGTTCCCTTCCAGAATATTCCGCTCCCAAGATGGAACATTTTCTCAAACAATTCCCTTCACTCATCTATACCCATGATGCGATAAATCAACACCACTCACGCCTACTCCTATATCCTCTCCGCCACTACTAGCTCGCGAAAAGTGACCATGATTGAATTCTGGTATACTCCTGGGTAGTGGCATACCATAACTACTTCCACTCCCTTGTCGTATTGGAGGTCTTCTTCCACCAATTCCATTTCCATTCACACTGGCTACTCCACTACTCATTTCGCTCATACCACCGGGACTCGAAACCCCGAAAGAACTGTCTCCATTTTCGACCCCAAACTCTCTCTTGAAATCCATCCCGTGAGCATGACTATTCAGATCATGGAATCCCGGATAATCCAAGGCTTGATACTCCATTCCAGGATTCATGATAGGCGGTGATGTGAATGGAGTGGTTTCGGCAGACATACTACCCGTGACACTTGGACTGCTCAATTCCTCAATTCGCTTGTCGAATGCCAATCCTCCATTCGTATGTGTCATCTTGTAATCGTTAGGGCCACTAGTAGCCATTGCATTGTAGTTCTGAGGAGGAATGCTAATACCAGTGTTGCCAAATCCATCAAAAAGGTCAACATCCGCACACATTTGGGGGTTTTCAGGAGCATTTTGTAACATGGGATTTACAAGACCAGGAAGGACATCGTGAACTTTGTTTAGAAGAAGAGGAAGAAAACGATGATCGCCATTGCGGAGAATGGAGAGCATTGTCATAAATTGATGAAGGTAGTCGCGTGGACCCATTGCGAAGGGATCAGACTTCGCAGGGAGAAGAGAGAGGACGTCGGTTAGTGAACAAGCGACGTCGAACAATTTCTCAATCTAATTTTTTTACTGTCAGCAAGTTGGGTATAGAGACCATTCAATGGAAGAATTCTCACCAAACCAACACCGTGAACCTCCATACTCTGATGACTGAATTGACTTGTCATCTGCGCCAAATCTCTAGCAATATCGACTGGATATTGAAATGTCATGCTTGGATCATCACAGTTGCTACTGAGACATCCATTTTGTATACTCAATTGCCATACCATTGTTCTTAGCCATTGTTGACTTGTTCTGAGATCTGCTGTTTGGTTTTCTGTCGTGTTGAGATAGACGGGAAGAGCTTCGGAGAGTTGTTTTTGGAGTGACGAAAGATAGGCTGGAGAACAATCGGTTCTGGTCTTGTTCCAGAGTGCGACAAATTGATCATCGAATGGGCGGTAGACATTTACGAGATGGATGAATCCATGCAAATGATGATTCTGGGGATCAGTGGGATCATCGTTGATCGAAGGAAGGCTAATCGTGGCTTGCAGAGACAGAGGTCGATGGCGTTGAAGTGCATATGATCTATTACTTTGTTAGCATTTGACATTGAATTGCCTCGACACAAGTCTCACCTTTCCGTGACGAATAACAACCAATACAATCTTCGTCTTCGTGATGATTCAATAATATCGAATTGATGATACGTCTCCTCTTTAACCATCTCCAAGGTGTGTGCCAATGTTGTAGCTTCTCGCAAATGGAACCAAGCCTTGTTATGTAGGTCCAATCCGTAGTAGCATGCAAAGATGAAAAAACTAGTCACCAAGCTGTTTTGTGTAGGTGATTCGCAGTAGTCGTAACTTTTCCTAACCTTCAAGGTCTCTTCCAGTAATAAGGTTCCAGAGACAATATTCGCGCCAGGTAGATTGTCTAATCCGAAAGGGTCACCAGGTATTCCCATTCCAGGTTGTATCATCATGAATGCACACATCGCGGTTAAGAGACAGTATGTATCGACATTCTGATCCACATACAGTGCTTGTTGCTCCAATCTCTCTCTGTGTAATATCGGCATCGTAGGATACATGTTTGCGAAGAAGAATTCCGTACATTCCTTCACCATTTCCGTTGTAAGAAGACCCGGGGTTGGTGCGAGTGTAGGACTGCATGGTGGACTTTGAACACCATTTATGCGGTTTGCAGTTTTGGCTGAAAGTGACGATTGTTGATTTTGTCTTAATTCGCTGATAACTTTGGCTCTTGAGCCCTTTGGTCCTTTCTTCTGTGGTATAGCATGGTAAGTGCAAGATAATTGAGCTGAAGAGCAATTGCGACATGGGTTGATACCGTCACACTTGACCTTTCGACGATGACAAGCGTCGCACGCTCTTTTCACCGAAGATGAAGACGACATGATGGGCGGTGGAAGAAATTATGGCAGATGGAGATTTAATTTTGTTTATCGATATGACGAATCGGTTGAGGGTCGAGTCGCGTCCAGTCCAGTCAAACAATAGAAGAGCGAATTAATAAGGCTGTAGAATTGACGATCAAATGGGACTTGTACACCAAAGCCTCGGAGCGTTCGGTTTTGGGTCGATAATTACCTAGCACCGCCTAGCACTTGAAAATAAAGGCAGCCTTATTGTACGTATCTGTACGAACAATTTTGGTATACTCGTGTGATTGATCTCGACGTCGTGCCAGGTAAAATGAATGTGTGTTCTAATTGTTGTCTCGTGTCGTCTGGGGTATGTGGAGTTTGTTGCAAAAGTGTGTTTCGTGTCGGTGCTGATTTGGATACCGTGGTAGGCTGGTAGGATAGAAAAGACGATGGAATCAAAAGATTGGATTTCTGGAGTACTTTATTCGGTCCGTATAATCCTGTATGGCGGAGACGGGATGCTCATTTCATGGAGATGCGGGGGGGGGTTGAAGGATCGTGAAGTCGTTATAATTGGATGAAAGTTATGTGAGGCGGGCGGGTGGCTTGAATTATATGATTTGAATTTAATTCACTCTTTTTTCTTTTGGATTATGATGGTGAAATGGTGAAATGGTGAAATGGACAAATGTTGAAAGGTTGAAGAGCGGAAGAGTGGAAGAGTGGAAGAGTGGAAGAGTGGGAGAGTGGGAGAGTGGGAGAGTGGGAGAGTGAAGAGTGAAGAGTGAAGAGTGAAGAGTGACGAGTGAGTAATGGAAAAGGTGACAATAGTAAGAAGAGAGGAACCAATCTTCTCCAAGGCTTAATATAGAATCGAGGATTGTTTGGAGAGAAGTGAAGGGGAGAAGAAAACAATGGTGAAGCTTAGGCGTGTTTGTTGATATTAAAGTGGGTCCGAGAGAGTCGATAAATGACCGCTAAGTGGTTGAAGTGCTTGAATATGGATGGACTAAATAGGTGTGGTATGGAAAGAGTGCATGTAGTGAAGTGGAGAGCGTGTGAGGAGAGCGGAAAGAGGAAAGAGGACAGAGGACAGAGGACAGAGGACAGAGGACAGAGGACAGAGGACAGAGGACAGAGGACAGAGGACAGAGGACAGAGGACAGAGGAAAGCGGTGAGAGTGAGGGACGGGGATTCGTGTGGTGTAGATATCGAGGTGGGTGAAAGGGTGGAAATCGAAAGGAAGGTGTAGATGTAAGTGCGTCGATAGGTGGATATGGGATCTGTTGTACGCTGAGTGGTGACGAGAGGGTTGAGATGATAATGCGGTTTTGATAGAGCCTAGGCGGTATCCGTGGAGAATCACTAGAGATTCGGAGAAAAAGGTGGTGAGGGCGTGGGTGGAAATGGGAGTGCGAGAGGAACCTAGAGGCCAGAAATGAGTGATGGATAGGATGGGATGGTATCGTGTGTGTGGTAGAGTGTACCTAGTATAAACAGATTATTATGTCGTGTGGATGCGTGGCCGGATGGTGTGAGTGAGCGAGTGAATGAGCGAGTGGGTGAGGTGAGGTAAGGTAAGGTGTGGATGTGAGAAAGAATTCGAGGAAAATATCGAGGGTTGAATGACGATTGTGATAGGTTCGCTTTTTTTTTTTTTTTTTTGGATAGATGATGCAAGCTGATGAAAATTACAATCTCTCCGGAGACCAATTATAGGATCAATCGTATAGTAAATCCCTTGCTGCTTGCTACGTTCTGCTTATGCTGTAATGTAATATGTAGGTATGTGACAATCAGATAGATATACCGGTAATGTCCCATCAATTTGGTTCGAGATTTTCCCTATTCATGCCCTTTCTTTCTTCCCTCCCTTTTTCCCTGCTGCGTTTTGCCTTCTTGGTCAACCGATCAGAAATTCCATCCAAGTCACAGCTTTCCTTTCCTTAAACTCTTTTGGGTAGAGTATAAAAACTAATCAAGGATGACTATACACTTTTACCAACCAGGCTGAGGCGAGCCAGGAACAAACAAGGTGCGAACAGGGTTGAAGTCCCCCGGTGTCTTTTTTTACCTAGTAGGTAGTAAGTATACTGATACTCCTCTACAAGTAACGTAACAAATAGGCTGTGTCAGCTTCGAGACACTTATTTCAATATTCCAATGGAATATCAGAGGTTCTACTTGAGATTCAACGGGAGCATTGCACCTGACTCTTGTCCACAGAAGAAGGAGAAGGAGAAGGAGAAGGAGAAGGAGAAGGAGAAGGAGAAGGAGAAGGAGAAGAAGAAGAAGAAGAAGCAGAAGCAGAAGCAGAAGCAGAAGAAAGAGTCGACGTTCTGACCCCGTTCCGCTTTAAGATTGCCCAGTGTTCTGGATGGATAATTTCCAAGGAATAGTGATTGGGGACGTCGATGGCAAAGAATCATAGAGAAAGGAGATGGAATGGAAAGCCAAGTGTAATAATGAATATCTCAGATGAATTTGTGTCAAGTATCCAAGGTTTTCATATTTTATTTGAATATAACTAACTTATATGAAGTATCATATTTTAGGTCACTATAGATGGGCAATAGAGTCCGAACTTTATATCTGTTGTATAACCTGACATAGAAACTATTGGATGAAGGGGTTGAAACTCAAATTACATGTCAAGTCAAGTATTCTCTCGGTCAGAAGGAGCTGGAAAGAAGAGAGTACAACCAACACACTTGTTGCTCAAACTTTGAATGAGAAATGTCGACTTGAATTTAGTCTCTCTCCCATTGAGAACGAGAGCAATGTCACCCCAATTTTGTACGACTTTTCTCTATCGAAATCGAAGTAACAAGTTGGTTATAAAATGTATCAAAACAATATCAGTATCCTCAGGCCATGACTCTCTACAACTACCTACCCCTTCATTTTCAATCCCCTCATTCTCGCTCCCACACCTCACACCCGAACATTAAAGTCTTTCAAGCCAATCACCATGAATTTTTCGTTTTCTTATAATAAAGATAATAAAGATAATAATATTAATGATAATAATAATAATAACCATAACCATAACAATAATAACAAGAGTAATAATAATCTTACCACGGGCGCCGCTACGGGTATCGCCATGATCAAGAAAATTTGCTAGTTTCTTACGCCGTCGATTCTACATTGATCGTAGGCCTATCAAAAGAATCCAAACCTCGTCGAGGTAAAAGAAATCTCTCTTCTGTACGAATTTAATCGACGCCACAAAATTGATTTGTTCAACCATTTCGTTCTCTAAAACGTCGACCAGGTCTTGCGGAAGAGAAATCAGGAGAAAGCTGACAAGTATCACAGCATAAGAGAGTTAATTTCCGGACCAGCTTCGATATTCCTTTTCTCTCTACAGCATAGGAGTTCTTATGGATTTCATCATGCTATTGATCACTTTGCCAGTATACAACAAGTTCTCATCAGGCTCTTTCCCTACACAATAATCATGTTTCCCTCCACGTTCCCTTCATCCATCATCCATCGAACCCCCAGCCAGCACTGTGCCTGCCTGCTAACCCCTCGATCTCTCGACGTGGACATTGCTCCGAAGAATCTCTCCAAGTTGTCAAACCCCCCCAATTGTCACGCTGCACGGAGATGACTCCTAATTGGGGCATCGCAGATTACATGAAAATGCATGGATAAATCCTTGTTAAAATCACTTATCATTTATGCCTCTTATAGCCAATTCAGGCGACATAACCGATCTCCCATGCAAAATCTAACCAATGCGTGCCAAGAATTCTTCGCGTTTTCTAGGTACTTTGTGCTTCATTTATGGAGACTGCTGATCTATTCTACGAAGTACTCCGTACTGAGCCACTTTACTTGCATTGCCATTTGGAAAGGTGTGTGAAGTTGTCACCAAGGTAACATCCTCCCGTTTTATCGGAAGATCAAAGCAACAGGGACAACGAGGCAACGAGGTTCAGGATCCTTCATTCGGTTCGAACACACTGCAAAGATGCTGCACAAACATACTGTACAGAGATATTTACATTGGGTCCTTGGAGATTCCTCCAGAAATCAAGTCAATCATTCGTATCTGGGGACTTTGTATTACCGTGTGACATATACCGAGGTTGCTTGTTATATCGAAACCTTACACAGATGCCGACCATGGCCAAGGAATAATAAGCCACTCACGCGTTTTTCTTCACGGTACCTACTATCTACTCGATGAAATCTGTGGAACTCATGAAAACTACTTTTATTTTTTTTATTTTTTTTATTTTTTTTATCTTGCACAGAAACACGAGCAAGCCAAAGGCTAGAGAAATGATACTATTTTCCGTAATTCTTCTCCCTGCTATGTACGACAATTCTTGCCTTGCCTTGCCATCCATCGAGCCAATACACTTTTGCAGTTCGATATGCATCAAATGCTCAAGCGCATGATAAAGCCCTACGATCAACTAGTAATAAAAGTGTCATGCTGGGGAACATCGCACATCACATACATGATACATCGCACGAATCAGGCACCATTCAAAAGAGATCTTCGTTTTAGATTTCCTCTTTCTTACTCACCGGAATATATCAAAGAATCGAACGACCACTCAAAACCGCTCGAGACCGCCTACCAACTGCACAAGTCTGCACCGCCTGCATTTGGTTTTGCAACAGAAGACACCAAGAAACTCTATGACATTTTACTATTCCGTTCTAAACATTTGAGCGACAAATGATATAAATGACACAAATGACACAAATGACACAAAACTATGTACAATTTTGAGTTGGAGACATTGGAAAAGTTTTCTGTTAAGATAGAATTAAAACTTGAAAGGCGATCAATGCGACGATGAGAATCCTCCGCTTCTGGACTGGGTCACCAGCATATCATATGTAGTAGGAAAGAGACCATGTGTTTCTGTACATGTTGAAACCCTTCCAGCCCTTCTCAATCCTACAAAGGTATCGTCAAATCACATGATTATCCAAATATCTAGTTCACCAGGGTTCACGGAAAATAGCACCAATTATTACAGTACAGTATGCAATGAATGGATACAAGTCGTACGGTACGTACGTGCATCTCGTTACCACAACCCGAACGGATGGAAGGAAAGGACCGAAACCCATGCGTTTCGCGAGAGGGAGAAGTATGCGGACTCTAGAGAGAACATTCCATAATGCGGAGAAGAACTTTCGTTTCAACCTTCCAGAGTACAGAACTCACGAGCCTCATGATCTTGAATCTTAACATCATCATGATTTGACAACCTTTTCAATTGGACTCTGCCACTCTCGCTGGGAGCTTCCAGTCAATCCGTCTCCAATCTTTGATGAAATATGGATACCAGTGTGCCAGTATGTGAGTAGTTATTCTCATCTCACGTGAATACCTGTACAAGTACAATCTCCTTTTTTCAACTGCATGTTGATAACATGTGATAGAAAGCTTACAAGAGGGTCGGAATAACTTCTTCCCTATCATTTAATTCGTTTATTTCGCTTCTCAACCAATATATCAGCTTTTCCTCGAGAGTCATGCGCCGCGGTTCCTGAGTTTGCCAACAAAGAGTTTTGTTCTGCAGACCAATACTAGATTACCAAAACGGTTAATCATTCTATACATTTCTTCTGGCATTTTATCAGGAGACCACATCATTAGTTTTGATGATGGCTTGATAGCCAACTTTTCATGTGCAATGAAATCTGGGGATATGGTAGCGGTGTCGTAATTCATCCTTCATCCTCCATCTCCACAATACCACCGAATCACGCCTCCTATCCATCCATCTCTAGGTCTAAAGATCTTGATAAATCATTGGCAAGACTGATACAATCATACCTTTACCCCACAAACCTTGTTGACTTGTACCACACCAGGCTTAACTCCGTCTTTTGATTTACCTTGATCTACGTGAGTACAAGCTTCGGCACTCAATGACCTCTCGGTACTGTTCCGAACTTTGTCTGATCTCTTCATTGGCCATGTACTGGGTTTAGCAGTCTTCACAATAGTTGGCGCTAATGCTTTTTACTTGGGGTCCCCAGATTCCTTCCGCATCTGGATGTGTATCCCGGATACGGATAATCGAAAAGGCCCGATCAACAGAATGATTTGTTGGTGGAAAGTTTTTTCCTGGGTCTGATCGTCATTCATTTATGTTGATTTGGAGGATGCGTCTAGAATGGACCTAATTTTCACTTTGACATGGCGGCAGTCGCGGAAATCTTCGTTCGTAGCTAAACCTTTCCGATGCCACAGTGTCCGCAAATCGGACATCTTGGGCCGTCCCGTTCCTAAAGGCGCGGGTGAGAAATTAGGGCACTACGCGAGGAAGCATTTGACTATGGTCTCCTGCCTGTATTTTCATTACTACCGACCCAGTAATTCCGAGGTGACAATGCAATTTCTTGTATCCCTGACTGTGGGAGTCTCATTTCCGATACTTGTCGAATGTTATAGTGAGGCTGTTTTAGAAACGGAAAACATGTGAATGAGTGTCCAGGGTCTAGATTGACTATTTGAAATGTATCCATTTTTTGTTTCCCTAATTCTAGGCAGTTTTGGTTCTCCAAATGCTCTGGCATGCTATTCTTATTCCTTCGATATTCTTCTAATTCTCAATAGTGCTCTACAATCTTAACCTCCAATGTTGTTCGAGGAAAGTGACTACGTACACCCTGTGGCTCTAATTTCACAATTTCCGGACCAACCTTAATCTTATTTTGAATACCGAGGACTCGTAGAGGTATCAGTTTACAGAGTGTTGATCACCAATACTTATACTACTGGGCAACCTCAAGCGTGGATCTTCAATTATCACATAGTAGATGTTGTGATCGTGATTCTCTTCAGTCATTGCTGCCAATGAAGCCGCTTCGTGACGATGACTAGGTAGTGCCAGCCGGCGAACTTCGGTATGCAACGATTCCCCCTACACTCAACTCACTTGTTTTCTTCACTTTGAGCATTTTTAATTAGCTCTCCATGCATCGTTCATGACATCCTTCGTTCTTGTATATTTAAATGCACTGTTGAAAAAAGGTTTTTTCTTATGACTGCTATTCTTGTACCTATATCCCAAGTTTTCTAAAGGCTATCGGCTTTTCCTCGAATCGCAATAAATATACCCTCTGCTTTCCAATATCATCCTGCTTGTTATGAGCTAGCCCAGTAAAAATGTTCGGCGGCAGTACTCAGGAAAGGTAAATATAGGCATCAAAATATGGGCAGAATTAGGGCATGGCCTATGAATAATGAAAGGGATTCCTGTGTAGAGTTTACATAAGCTTAGGCCATGATCTGTGAATAGTCCGACCTTCTCCTGCTTTCTTTTGGCTTTTCACGATTTGCCGTGGTAGTTTAGATG